TTCGCGACAGGCATTACAGAAAAACGGCTTGCGTTGACATAGTAAAAAGAAGTAAATAATAATTAAAAATTATAAATAAATAAGTAAATAATTATTTTGCACTTTTTTGCTATAATTTTAAAACAATCAACTTTAGGACATATGTGTATTAAGACTCTGACTTGGAATGACACCAAAAACAGTTTCAGTATATGCATTGCGGGACACACTGTATATACATATTTAGAAAATATATTGCCAGAATTACAATGAATAAAAGAAATATTTTTACATAACAATTTTTTACATAAAAAACTATGCATATACTAACACATAATAATCCGATAGTAATCTAAATTATTGTATGATCTCATCTGTTGTTGTACAAATTTGCTGTAAGCATTATTTTATATAGAGATTAGCTCATGTTCTTTCAGCATCTCGTTTTTATTTCTTTGACGCAAGTTTTAAAAATTTCTACAAAGACTGCAAAATAAATGTTAATGTCCAACAGGATTATGTAAAAATGTAAATGTATTTGCCATGTAAGTTATTTTCATCTCTATATGATTTTAAGAAAGTTTACTTAAATCGTAATGTAATTTTTTACATTATATCCATTAAATTCTGTGAATTTATCTTCGCAATGACTAAAAAATAATTAAATACTATTTTCTAATTTTCCATAATGCTTACAACTTTTAATTATTTGCATTTTTTAACAAAAGTTATAAATTGAAAAATTTATTTAATATATATTATTTATAAAAATTATTTTTTATAAATATTTTACAAATATTATTTAATATATATAGTATGTTGATATAATTATGATATAAGATAGAGAGAAACAACAGAATAATTATTCAAAGCTTTTTTTAATAATTTAATTGAGTTTTTATTTCATGTAAAGGTAAAATAAGTATATACATATATATTGTATGATTGAAATAATTTTAATAACTATTTCATAATTGAATATACATATAATTATTTATTTTTAATCTCTTTATATATAGGCTACAATAAATTGTCATTTAAATATTATAATTATAATTATATCAAATATAATTATATTGTGTGCATATATCTATAAATGCTAATATTATATATTAATAGTTATTTCCTATTACACATGTTATTATATACATGTTTTAAAACAAAGAGTTTAATAGTAATTAACTAATACTAAAAATTTATTATTAAAACAGTTAAAAAACGTTAAATATTATTATAGATAAATATTACTATATTACTATAGATGTAAATAAACCATGCATTTGTAGGATTTAGATTTCGATTTTGAACGAAAAAAACCTCAATTGGTAAATCGCCTTTTTCACTTTCTGATTGAAAAAATTCAGCTAATTGGAATAAAAAAAAACTTTGTTCTTCGGTTTATTGAGTTAAACAGGTACACTTACAGTTAAATTCGAAGTTGTTTGATTCATTCTAGCTAGTCCGCATTATTTTTTCTATGAGCTGGTTTCTAGATTCGGAGGTCGCATTCCCATTAAAATAAACACAAAACGACAATAAACATATCCTAATCAATTGCATCGCATCCGTAAGTGAATTTGATGAACAGTAAAAAAATGACAACTCGAAAGTTCTGGAGTATCGTGATGTGTATTAATATAAAAGATAGCAGAAAATACAAGAGCGAAATGAATTCTTATTACTATGTTTTTTTATTAACTGAAAAAAGATGATAAAAAAGCAGAAATAAAGAATTATTAATCGCGTTAAGCAGATTCATAATAATAAAATAATATTTGCTTTTCATATGTTAACTATATATATGCATTACGAAAAATGTATATGTATATGTATGAGAGATCCATAAATTGCTAAAATTATAATGTACAATAGAATAAAAGGCGTATCAAACATAAAAATGTATCAAATATAAGAGTTTTAACAAGGCTCTGTAATATAAATATAAATTTAACGTATAAGACGGGCAACAAGAGCCAAATCGCGGATGACAATGCGTTATCCTAACGAAACTAAATAATTTTTCGTTAGAATTAAATACCGGTGCACAAGGCACCAAATTTTTACTTGGACACGGCCAAGATTTTAAATATGAAATAATCTCATATTTTGAGATTTAATTTCAATACCCCTTTAACCCCCCTACGGAAAATAAATAAATGAATGCAAGAGAAAAATATAGATCCGAAAATCGCTGAATCGGGAATCGAACCCGAGACCTTTCGCTTGCCGGGCGACTGCTCTTCCAGCTGAGCTATTCAGATCCTTTCGATTCTATACTTTTCTCTGTTATATATATTAATGTTGGTAAACAAACGCATTTTTTAAGCCAGCGTGTATCAAATATAAGAGTTTTAACAAGGCTCTGTAATATAAATATAAATTTAACGTATAAGACGGGCAACAAGAGCCAAATTGCGGATGACAATGCGTATCCTAACGAAACTAAATAATTTTTCGTTAGAATTAAATACCGGTGCACAAGGCACCAAATTTTTTACATTACATTAATATATATAACAGAGAAAAGTATAGAATCGAAAGGATCTGAATAGCTCAGCTGGAAGAGCAGTCGCCCGGCAAGCGAAAGGTCTCGGGTTCGATTCCCGATTCAGCGATTTTCGGATCTATATTTTTCTCTTGCATTCATTTATTTATTTTCCGTAGGGGGGTTAAAGGGGTATTGAAATTAAATCTCAAAATATGAGATTATTTCATATTTAAAATCTTGGCCGTGTCCAAGTTAAAATTTGGTGCCTTGTGCACCGGTATTTAATTCTAACGAAAAATTATTTAGTTTCGTTAGGATAACGCATTGTCATCCGCGATTTGGCTCTTGTTGCCCGTCTTATACGTTAAATTTATAAAAATGTATGTTATCTTAATTCCATATTTTAAATCATTGAATTAAATTCATATTTGCTGTTCTACTTTACTATTAATGTTTCATCTTGCGCAGAGTAATAAATATCAATTTTTCTCAACACTTTGTTCTTGTCTATATTATCAAAAATTTTCTTAATTTTTGCGAAAACTGAAGAATGAATACTAACAATATTTTGTTATTTATTATGTTTGTAATGCAATTAATTTTTATTTTTATATATTACTCCCCAACAAATCTTATTGCATATATTGCAACGTGATTTTTCCAACCAACTCAGGCAGTGTATTTATTCTTATTGTTAGTAAAAAATAATATAGATACGCTATCTTTTACCTATTTATTAATGTTAATAACTTTGACTTATTTGCATTTTTAACGCTTTACATTTGGAAAAAAATATATAATAAATAGACAAAAAGAATATGTATATACCAAGTTGCGTAGTAACTTATTACTGCTCTCTATAAAATTTAAAAACCTATAATTACATACAAAAATTGTAGACCAATATTATTATAATAGTATTACAATGTACAGTGAAAATTTCAACATCGATAATAAAATAGTATATTATTTATAATTTTATATAAACATTATAAATACGTAAATTAGATTTATATTGAGAAATATTGTTACTAAAATCGAAAATATGTTGACAAGTAATTTACAGAAAAAATATCTGTATATACAATATTTATCATATTGCAACCAAACTTTCGATCCATCGCAAGAATAAATTATTCGGAACCATTGTTTAAAAATACATGTATTATTATAATCCGCAACGTTACTAATATATTGTAAATAATAATAAAACATTATCAATTTATATTTCGCTAAATTAATGATTACAGCTGCCTTCAATCGTAGTTCTGTATTATTTTTATTATATTAACGTAACATATACATTCATATTATTCATAATATAGAGGTAACATTATGTGAATTCTCCCCTCTGAGGATCTGGAAAATTCTTTCGTACACGAGTTTTGCCACATCTTTGGCCCATATGAAGTCCGCGTGATTAAATTTGGGCCACGGCACTTCGTACATATCTATTACGTTGGGTAGTAAATCGTACAACCTCTTCACATCCTTAAAAAACATTTATGAATTATTTTGTGCCATCTTGTTTGAACAATTTTTTTGTACCTATATATATAAATCAAGCTTCTTACATGAAAGCAAAAAAAAATATATATATACACAGCTTTAGCTTATCAATTTAAATTAAAATTAAATAAATTAAATAAATTTTAAAAATGGATAAGTAAATTTAGAAATCAACCTATTAGTTTTTTTAATGTAAAAATTATTTTATTTTTATTTTTTTTTTTACATATGTATATTGATTTTTCGCAATATTCGGCGAAAGTTATAAGGGTAAGTTATAACATAGAATGTTAAAAAAAATGTACGTGATATTTTATATTTTAATTTGACAATATATTATATTTTAATATCAATTATATTTTAATACCAATTATATTTTTATACACATACACTATATATTAAATAAAATATTCAGTGTTTGATAATTTAATTCAAGATTTTTATTCATAATATAATAGAAAGAATCAATTGATGTAAAAAAATACCTAGTTCTTTTAAAAAAAGTATGTAATTTGCAACCAGTACATGACCTTGAAAAACGTCACTCAAGGACAATTGTAGATCACGATATTGTTTTTCTCAAAAATCTTTCAATTTTTATATAGAACATTTTTCTCGAAAATATTTTATTTCCAAGAAAATCGACTGTATTACTTAGAATAAAACATCTTGTGTGTATATATATATATTTTTTTTTTTTTTCAATATTTAAATTACCTATTTTTTGTTACTTACAACAGGGTCGGCCACCAAGTCATTGCTGGCGTACAACAAAGCGATTGGTACCGTGATTTTCGTTAGATCGTAATCCGGAGGTTCCACCGAGTTGTACATCAGCAAATTTTTCGCGCTACCGTAGTCAAATTTGCGAAACTTTCCTGATTAATGTACTTGAGCGTAGTGAACGAATGCTTTAATCGAGGTACCAGCTGGGTCGTGACCCAATATATTAGGTACCAGAGTCTAAACAATAAGGACGTGGAAATAAAGTCTGATGTGAAGCGTACTTGCGCGTGAAGATGAAATATTATCGCTTCGATTGTGATAGAATCAGTGTTTGCTATTATCCAAATAAAATTATATAGACGATCATCTAGATAAAATTATGGAGTCATTTTATCCTTATATAAATAAAAATATTTATTATCTACAATAAATATTATCTAAAAAAATTGTTATGTTTATCAAATTATGTAGAATAATGTTTAGATCATTTGGTTTAGCGTATAAAAACACTTAAATATTTTTATTAAGTAGCAGAATTTGAACAGTAAGCGATAAAAACTTATAAATATAAATGTTTTTATATCCCATTTATAATTTACATTTTTTATAATTTAAATGATAAAAAATTGTTATCTTTATCAAATAATCTAGAATAATGTTTACGTTATTTGGTTTAGAGTCATTAACGTATAAAAACACTTAAGTATTTTTATTAAGTAGCAGAACTTGAATATTAAGCGATAAAAACTTACAAATAAAAATTTATTTTTATATTTCTTTTATAATTTACATTTTTATTGTGTTTATATAAGCGGTCTTAAAAACAATATTATTTGGAATTTATCTAAATTAATCGCCATATAATTTTATCTTTTATCTAGATATATTTAAAATAAAATTATTTTCATCTTATCTTAGATAAATATACATATTTCCATCTTATCTTTATTGGCTAATTTCAAAATTATCTAAGCACACACACATAACACTGAATAGAATTTGTATTTTATTTGTTGAGTTATATTACTTACGTAATCAAGTTGTTCATAATCGAAACCGCATATCAAAAATATCAGGTGTACGAACAATTCATGTAGAAAAGTCGGGTCGAAAAATTGCACATAATTTTTATAAATATCACTGTTCACATTAAATTCGCCGTGCAAGAAATTATTCAACAGTTTCTGTAATTGAAGATCTATTATCGTTATCGTGATATAATTAATTACAAAAAATCTTTAATATCTCTTTAATATTTTCAAATAGCAATAATTTTGAGAATAAATTAATTATATTTTTAAGCATCTTTTAATCATTTAATAAAGTGATAAAAATTATGGAAGGTTTGATCTTAATTGTAACTTGTCGAAGAACATCTCTAAAATTATAATGAAAGATTTAATTATATGGCAAAAAATATATAGATGTAAGACAAGAAAAGAATATTAATTTTCTAATCTTCAGAATTAATTCTTTCAAAAATTATTCGAAAAATACATTTTTTTTCTCACTTTTCATATTTATATTTTATTTATATGAAATAAATCTTTTCTCATTTAATTACAAAATATGTTCCATTCTATATAAATCAAATAAAGATTGGAAAATAAATGCGTTCTTTGTAATCCCATTATTATTATAATTGCATTTTGGCAAAATAATAATTTTTAATTTATAATTGCGCGTGATGATTTCCATCATTCAAACGTTAATATTTAAAATATCGCAATAAACACTAATTATAATATAAATTCTAATTTCTAATATATAAATTCTGAAATTAGTTAAATTAAAAAATACAATTTTTTTATTTTAATCATTTATTTCAATCTTGTAAATCAAGAATTATTGATGTTCAGCTATATTCACACTATAAATTTTTATTTCATCATTTACTGTTTTACAATAATATTCTTGAAAATGATGTGTTTATTATACATAGTATAAATACGAGACATTTTTTTTATTTTAACGAAAACATTATTTTTAACTATTATTTCGCTAAAATAAATTATTGTCTAACAGAATTTGCATATAAAAAGTATATTACTTTACCTGATTCGTCTTCACGAAGGGAGTCATGTATCGAAACAAACCTTTCATATTGTCTATAAAGGCTGTTGGTCCGAGACTGATCATGTTTTGTACCATTCCAGCGATTTCTGGACGCTCTGATGCCATTACATAAAAAGTGGTTGTGCCCAACGAATGACCAATGCACGAATGCAATTGTTGCGATCTCATATTTGTAATAAATTCAATCATCGCAGGTAAGTCGTAGACACCCATTTCGTGAAAGCTGATAAAATATTTGATATATAGTCATAAATATGTATGTTACCATATAGAGTATATATACACACATGTATAAATAGATGTGCAAAAAAATATATAAGTTTCATTATCAGAAAATAAGCATCTTTTCTCTTTGCCAAATTCCTGAAAACATGTTATTTTTCCGAGATCTATTTTTTTTATATGCAAATATAATGCCTTTGATATTTCTTGATTCTTCATTTAAATAACTTTGTGTAGAAATTGTATATAATTCTAATAATGTACGGAATAATTATACTTAATTATATAATAAAATTACTAAAATTTTTTTACAAAGAATTATTTACACGAAGAACTAAGAAAGAACAAATTATATATCTATATGTTAAATTTAATATTGACATAAAAAAATGAGATATCGAGAAAACAATGCATTTCCGAATATTTTGGTAAAAAATTGATATTTTATTGACAAGAATTATAGAAGAGAGAGAGAGAGAGAGAGAGAGAGAGAGAGAGAGAGAGTAATTATACTTGTAAGTTGAAAAATTTTCTACTCGTATAAAACACTCTATTTATATTATACATATAAAGAATATCTTAAGATATATATATGTAAATGCAATTTAAAATAATGCTGCACATAGATATAATAAATATACAAAATAAATCCATCTAGTTCTTGCATTTCAACATGTTAAATTAAATAAAAAATTTAATAATTAGTTTATAATTGTTACCGACGAGGCGTCTTTTAAGATACAAGGTTTTCTTTATATATATTGTTTAATATGTTATAAGGGTGTCTCACTACTTTATCTATAATGTCATCTTAAAGAGAATTTTTATTTGAAAAAGACCTAAACCAGAGGTCGAAACGTAATGAGATATTTAATTTAATAAAGAATTTATTGCCCACTATTGGTCGTTTTTTAATGTTAAATACATACTTTATCGTTTTTTATTTCTTACTGGTGAATTGATTACACACACTTAATCAATTAAGACATATGTATATCTAATCAATTTTTAATAATTAAGTGAGAAAAACTTATTACATTCAAAACGACCAATACTGAAGATTTTTTATTAATTTAACTAATGAGTTCTCTCATTTTTTCTTCTTACGACTGTGACACAGTTTAAAAATCAATTAACATATACAATTAATTTTAATAATTAAGATTATATATCATTTTCAAAGTTATTATTTTGATTTCATGCGTATACCTGAAATCCCAATATTCCAAGCTCGACGGAGATAAGGAAGTATGTCTTTTTGAATAGATGTTGCCACGAAAATTAGCGAACCAAACATCATATCCCTGATCCGCTAATAGATAAGCTAGGATTAAAAAAATTAAAAATTTAATAATTAGAAAATTTATTATTTTGAATGTTTCTCTACAATAGAAACAGAATACTCTCAAGACATATCTGCACATTAAAAAAAATTAGTGTTAAATTTAACAGATATTACATGTCCCAAACGGTTCACAGAAATTTTTGTGTTAATTTAATATAATATGGATATGTTAAATGCAGACACAAATATTGTTTTAATACTTTAACACAAAATTAATGCAAAACTTTAAGTAATTTAAAATAAATTTTGTGTGAAATTAACATAACTTGAATCTAAAAATTAACTAAAAATATGTTAATTTTAGTTAGTCATTATTTAGATTTTATCATTCCCTTATATTATAAAATAAAAAATCAACATTTTTTCGGTAAATTTTAACATATAAATCTTGTCACTAATAAAACAGAATATATTTATTATGTAAAATTAAAAATAGATGCACATTATGTTATTTTTACATCTGTTTTTAGTTGTCTTAATAATTCAACACTTAAGTTCAATTAACACAATAGTAATATATTAAACACATGAGTGTGTTATAGTATATTGTGTATCAAGTGCGGAAAGTTGACAATTGGTCACAAATGCGAGGGATGGACGCACGAGCCGAAGGCGAGTGCGACCACCCCACACAAGTGAACAATTATCAATCCGCACGTGATACACATACTATTTTGTATTACAAGTGCAGACAAAGTGGCTTTTTCTGCGCGTTTTCTGTGCGCGAGGCGGCCGATCGCACGCCGCCATCTTGCCGCGGCACGGTGGGGGAATAGCCGTGTTCAATACATTGCCTACGGCTTCAGCCGTATACAATGACTTTTAACGCGGCTGGGCCGTAGATAATGGCTTTGAACGCGGCTTATTCACTCACCGCGTCGCCGCTAGATGGCGGCGGGGGAAATCGGCCACTTCCCGCACAGAAAACACGCACCGAAAGTGCCACATTGCCTGCACGTGTAATACAAAATATTTAACACACAAAAATTTTAACGAGAACCCTTTTTAACAAGAAAACACAAATTTTCCAACTGTGTAATTTAGAAAAAAGATTGATTAAATTCGTATACCGAGTGCTCTGCCTTTGCCAAGAATGAGCCAATCGACGGAGCTAAGTGAAAGAGCGTGTATCAGTAAAACCGGTAGAGAATCATTGTCACCTGGGATACGATGTAACGTCAAATAAAAACCGTCCTCCGTCATAACAACGTGAGATTCCACGGGATAACCCGCCCTTTTTATCGTGTCTGGCTAGAAGAAAAATAAGTAAAAAAAAGAGAAGAAATTGATCAACTTTAATCAAAAATTTAATTTGCATTTGTATTTGTACTTTGGTGTTATAAGGATTAAAGTATCAACTAATATTGCAACACACTTTAATGAGATTTTGACAATAAAATAATGATTCTGACAATGATTTTAATAATTATTCTAATAATGAAATTGAGATCGTTGTGTAAATTTTTCTAGATCTTTTTTGTTTGCAAATGATTTATAGATAATAATTGCGAATGTATAATTAATTTTGTTTCATACTTCCTGGCAATTATACGTTGCAAATTATACTTCTCATGTTTATTAATGTAAATTTTCTACTCATGGAAATACATAAATATTCTACTTCAAAAAAAAAAGAAAAATAAGTTAATCGAGTTTGTTATCGTCAAGTTAATGTATTGTAGATATATAAAAAAGTACTACAAAATCGAACAATATTAAAAAAATTAATTTTATTATATATTATAATTTTATTATATACAGGGTGTCCCAGATTTACCGTATCACACGTTAATGGGAGATTCCTAAGGCGATTTGGAGACGATTTTTTCTCAGCGAAAATGTCAAGGAAGATCATCATTGTTTTAAGGTTCCCAATTTTGAAAATCATGCATCTTTGTAACTAAGCTTTAAATTAAAATTCTATTAAAGTAAAACGAAGTAAAACGAAAAAAAAATAAAACAAAAAAAGTAAACCAAAAAATGTATTTTGTTAATAATTTATTTTTACAAGGCTTAGTTTACAAAACAGCTGTTATTTTCAATTGTTTATAACTCGAAAATTATTGGTGCCTGGACATTTTCGCTGAGGAAAAATCGTCTCCAAATTACCTCAGGAATCTTTCATTAACGTGTGATACGGTAGGTCTGGAACACCCTGTATATTAAAAATTATAAAGTACGCGCTTATGTTGTCTAATATCGCAAGGATTAACAATTTGATAGTTGATAAAAATAAAATTAAATAAAATTACATAAAATCATTATGTAAAATCGTATAATGACGCGCGCGAAGAGCACTCTAGTTATCTAGATTAATAAAAAAAGGGAGTAATAATTAAGATCATTTTTGATCATTTTCTGATGGTATTGAAAAAAATGTGACTAATCGAAATAATGCAAATTTTAATTCTTGTTTTTCTGTGTCAACACTTACCGTACTGAGAAAAATTTCGGGACTGAATTTGGTGTTGTTCGATTGGTTCCAGGTAGTCCATTTGACTTCCTCCATGAATACATTTCGTTGAGGAATCGTATCCGACGGAGCCGCATCAAAACAACCGTAAAACGATAACATAAACGCGATTCCAATCAATTTCATCGCATCACTGACTAATTCAATTAACAATAAAGAAAGAAGAAGCAAACAACAGGAGTGTTTTCCAAATGTAGAAATATATATTATTGAATAAAAATTAAAACACGCGAAAGCAAGAAAAATACGACTCCAAGTAAACGTTTGTTCTTTGCACGGTACGTACTGAGAATGAATCATTTTGTCAACGATTTTTATTAGTTGAGAAAGAAAGGGAAAGAGATAAAAAACACCCTCGAGGTAGTAATTATACAATTAGCATTAAAAAATACACATATATACTTATCTGTAGAAAATATATTGCCGGAAGTAAAAAGTACAGCAAGTGAAATAAAAATATATAATACTAATACATGTATGTTGCACAATAGTTCAATAAAAATCTTAATTATTGTATTAAAATTGATCTATTTTGTCACAAGTTTTTTATCTCATGCAAATAGATAAATTTTGTTTTTTCAGCATCTCGTTTCTTATTTATTTTATCGCAAATTTAAAAATTTCAAAAACTGAAAAATAAATGTTAATATCTAACGATATTTTGTAATTGTATTTGTGATACAAACTGTTTTCATCGATATATGATTCTAAGAAAATTTGTTTGAATTATAACGTAATTTTTATATTATATCTAATTTAAATCTCGTGAATTTATCTTTAATAGCTAAAAAATAATTTGCTTGTCAATTATTTATAAATATTTTTAATTAATTGCATTTTTTAATGAAATTTTTAAATTGGGAAAACTGTACCAAATTTATTTCTATAAAATTTTATCTTATATCTTTTATGTATGAGAGTTAATCAAAATTTATGGACCAATATTATTACAATATTATTACATTGTACAATGAATATTTTAGTAGTGATAAAGAAAAAAGATACATTTATAGTTTGATAGAAAAATTACAGATCCGTAAATAAGATTTATATTGAGAAATAATGTTATTAAAATTTAATATAATCAAAAGTAATTTATTCAGAACATTTCTGCGTATTTGTTATAATATATTGCAGTCAAACTTTTGATTCATCGCAACAATACATTATTCGGTGGGATAATCGTTTAAAAACGTATGCACTATTCTAATTCGCGTTATTAATAATAATAAATAATAAAAAATTATAAATATATATTTTATTAAATTATTGATTGCAGTTTCTCTCAATCTGTCGCTCTTATTACAGGTTTAAGAGATGGAATATTTATTTTTTTATTTATTATTTTCTATAGACGTAACATTATTTGGATTCTTCCCTTTGATGATCGTGAAAACTCTTTCGTACACTAGTTTTGGCGCATCCTTGGCCCATATAAAGTCCACATGATTAAAATTGAGCAACGGTATTTCATATAAATCCATTACGTTGGGCAGTAAATTGTACAACCTCTTCACATCCTTAAAAACATTTATGAATTATTTTCAGGAATTATTTTGTGCGATCTTGTTTAAACTACTTCCGTTTTCTATGAAGCTTGATTTATATACAGTTTTATCGTAAATCAATCTCTACTGTGCACATATATATATATATATATATATATATAGAATGTATATATATATATATATATATATACAGAGTATTTTATTTACAGTCAATTAAATTGCAAATAAGATAGGTCGTTTAAAGATCAACCTAATTTTGTTTAAATGGAATCATTTACTTTTTCTTCTATAAATTAATTCCTCGCAATAATATGAACATAAAAAGTTATAAGAATAGGATGATCAATAATATGCATATATTTATACATGACGAAAGAGTCAAATATCATTATATGTAACTATATATAATTATATATAAATATGTATAATATCTTATATTACTTTGAAAATTATACATATTTCTGCATATTTATGTACATAGTTCTGTATAATTGTATCTAATTCTGCATAAATATATATGACAATTTTTTCCCGAAGTAAATAATTTATTAGATAATTTATACTATAATTGACGATTACATTTTAATGACATGCATATTTTAATCTCACATAAAATGCAATATAAAATATATAGTGTTAATATAAAATATATAGTCAATAATTTACTTATTAAGACTTTTATGCATAGTAAAGAGAGGAATCAATTCATGTAAAGAAAATACATGGTTCTTAGAAAAAAGAATATAATGTGTAACTAGATACTACATGACTCTGAAAAAAACCATTCAAGGATAGTTCTAGATCATTATAGAATATTATGGCTGAAAACATTCTGTATAATAAGGTAGTAGATATTAAACTGACTACACTGGCTGTCTATTAGATTTGTTAAACTATATTTATTGACGTTTCGACCATACGGGCTGTGGTCCTTTTCAAAATTACAATAGAAGCATTCTAGAAATTAATGTACATGCAATCAGAATCGACATTTAAATTGAAAACGTGAAATGTAACAAATGAGACTTACAATGAGTTACTGCATATCGTTATTGACATTTAAAAGTACGCTCCGGTGAGACTTAACTTAAGATCGGATGGTAAATTAACTGCGTTTCACTTGTGTCATCTTGCCACGACTGAACACACTGTACTAACGAATAAACACGCCGAAAATTATGTCAAAGTTAAAAGTTAACAATATTTACATTTTCGCTAAATTGTGATGTACCATATGGCAAATTACTAAAATAAAATATAAAAAATAAAAATAAAAATAAGAAATAAAAAGTAAAATATAAAAAGTATAGATAATAAAAAAAAAATAAATAAATAAATAAATAGATATATTCGGTTCGCTTATGTCATCCTGCCTTAACATACCAATAATAAACTACTAATAATAGCTCCCAACAATGTATGTTAAAAATTTTTACTTCAATTTCTAAACAAACTGTCATATATCGTACTAAAGCTTTCAGTGTCTTTCTGTAAATTGATAGTGGAATTCAATTTCTTGATAAAGTACATTTCGGCTATTTCTCTTTTTCTTCTATTGTTTTCTTTATGCAGAATTAAAGGATTCGACCAATCAAATTCATGTCCTTGATTAATTCTGTGCTCACTAACAACAGAAAAATTGCTCGCTGAATTTTTAATATTACGTCGGTGTTCGTTAATCCTAGTACTAAGATGTCTTTTTGTCTGCCCTACATAATTAGAATCACAATTGTTACAATTAATACAATAGACTACGCCGGTTTGCTTATTAATATCTAAATTATCTTTTCCCGATTTTATTAAACAGTTCAGTTTTTTGGGGATGGTAAAAATTACGTTAAGGTTCTTTTTGTTTAGAAATCTATATATGTCATTAGTGAACCGATTACAATATGGAATGACGATGAAATTTTCCCTCGAACCATCCGTCGAATCTACATTTATAATTTTTTTATCCTCATTGTTTATAGGTTGTGACAGCTTGTGGGTTCTATCATTGACATATTTATTAATGAGATTTTCCGGGAAGCAGTTATTTTTCAAAATATTCTTTACAATTTTTAAATTAGAGTCATGAAACCGTTTATTAGATAAATTTATTGCATGGTCAACTAAATTGGTAATGGTGTTAATTTTATATTTCGTCGGATGATTCGAGAAAAAATTGATGTATCTTCCTGAGAATGTTGGTTTTCTGTACCAGTTAGTTATGAGCTTATTATCATCCCTGTGTAAAGAATATTTTATATAATCTTATACTTTTTATATTTTACTTTTTATTTCTTATTTTTATTTTTATTTTTTATATTTTATATTTTATTTTAGTAAATTGCCATATGGTACATCACAATTTAGCGAAAATGTAAATATTGTTAACTTTTAACTTTGACATAATTTTCGGCGTGTTTATTCGTTAGTACAGTGTGTTCAGTCGTGGCAAGATGACACAAGTGAAACGCAGTTAATTTACCATCCGATCTTAAGTTAAGTCTCACCGGAGCGTACTTTTAAATGTCAATAACGATATGCAGTAACTCATTGTAAGTCTCATTTGTTACATTTCACGTTTTCAATTTAAATGTCGATTCTGATTGCATGTACATAAATTTCTAGAATGCTTCTATTGTAATTTTGAAAAGGACCACAGCCCGTATGGTCGAAACGTCAATAAATATAGTTTAACAAATCTAATAGACAGCCAGTGTAGTCAGTTTAATATCTACTACCTTAGTATTTCATTCCTGGCGAACGAAATTTAATATTTTATTGTTATTCTGTATAATATTTCTATTATTTAAATATCTATTTTTTGTTACTTACAGCGAGGTCGCACAAAAAGTCATTTTTGCCGTAGAACAAAGCGATCGGTACTGTGATTTTCGTTAGATCGTAATCCGGAGCTTCCACGGAGTTGTACATCAACAGATTTTTCTCGCTACCGTAGTCGTACTCGCGAAATTTTCCTGACTGAATTGCTTGAACGTAGTGAAGAAATGTCTTCGCCGAGGATCCAGCTGGGTCGTGGTTTGTAATGAGAGGTATCAGAGTCTAACAAGTATAAACAATAACAAGAATAAAATCGAAATCCGACCCGCAAGGTGAACTATTATTGCGATCGATACGTCAATTGGAATTCTAAATCAAAAGCGGAATTATACTACTCACGTAATTGAACTGTTCGGAGTCGTAACCAAACGACATAAACATCAGGTTGACGCAAAATTCCTGCATGAAAAAATTTCGGGTGCAAAAATCCCGAAAAAGTTTAGTCCAACTTCTCTGCAGAAATTCGCCGTTAAATAAAGTGTTCATCATCATCTATAATCGAAGACCTATCGCATTATATCGTGATATAATTGACTTGCTATTTTTTTTTCTTTATGTTTTAGTAAGTTTCAGAAAATAAATAAATAAATTTCTAAGCACTTTTTAATAATTTAATAAATTGGTGTAATATATATATATATATATTTATATATATATATATATATATATATATGGAAGTTTTGATTTTAATTGTAACTTGTCAAAAAAAAAAAAAAAAAATTAAAAAACATTTCTAAACTTTTTTCTTTTGAAAGATTCAATTATATGAAAAAGACAAACAGTATTATATATAAAAAAAAAAACATTAATTTTTTAATCTTCAAAATTAATTTTTTCTAACATCTTTCAAGAAAAGAAATCTTTCTTCTCACTCTTTTCTCATTTGTATTTAATTTATATGAATATAAATTCTTTTATTTAATTTTGTTACGAAATGTAGGTTCCATTCTATATGTATACATAATATATATAGTTTAGAATTGGAAAGTATTATATATTATTTTTTACTCTTAGTATTATAATTACATTTCCTAATAATGATTTCTAAATGATAATTTGCAATTAAAATTCAAATTATAAAAATTCTATCTAAAATTATTTTAAAAAAGCTTTTTTATTTTTATTTATTTCAATCTTGTAAATGGACAATTATTGTTGTCCAGTCTATAAATTTTTATTTCACAGATTTTTATTCTACAATAATATTAATCAATGGTGTGTTTATACATATAGTATAAATATGAGACATATTTTTTTATTTTAACGGAAAGATATTATTTGTAACCGTTATTTCGCATGAGCAAATTATTTTCTAACAGTATTTGTATATAAAAACGTATATTACTTTACCTGAAGCTCCCTCGAGAAGGGAACAATGTATCGTAGCAAACCTTTCATATGGTCTATAAAGGCTGTTGGGCCGAAGCTGATTATACTTCGTACCATTCGAGCGATTTCCGGTCTCTTTGACGCCATTATATAAGAAGTGGTTGTGCCTGATGAATGACCAATGTACGTATGTAATGGTTGCGATCTTGTATTTGCGATAAATTTAATCATCGCCGGTATGTCGTAAATGCCCATTTCGTGATAGCTGATAAAATATTTGATATATTATCATAAAGAATATAAAGATATATATGTATATATATATATATATATTTTCGCAAATAGTATAATTATAATATAAATTTATATATATATATATATATGCAATATGTTTCAGAACACTCTTCATATACTTAATATATATATAGAGAGTATTTCCTAATAAGTGTAATTTAAAATAATGATCTAGAAATATAAATCTAGATGTATAAATATATATAATAATAAATATACATATATCATATACTTATACGTGTAAAGCATAAAAAATATATATATATATATATGTATGTATATAAAATTATATATATGCATATTTATACATGAAATTTATACATGAAAGAGTTAGATATAATTATTAAATTGGTGAATCAAGGCCAACTAACGAGCAACATTGAAAACAAACTAATTAATGTATAAATGATTTTAATGTTAAATATTCACATATTGTAAAAATACACAAACTTTTTCACTGTACTACAGTCTTTATCAGTGTTAAACTCATAAATATAATCAACTTAATGATGTAAAAAATTTTTTAAAATAATTTATATCACATTATTCTAAAACAACAAAAATTTTTTAAACAAACTAACTTAGGAACAGAGTCATTAGGTTATCAAATGTAAAACGATGGATATAAAATTTTCTGTTTTTCCGTGATTGCCTTATCTTATATAAAATATTATAAAAAATAAGATAAGGCGATGATGCACGGATGGATATAAAATTTTCTGTTTTTCCGTGATCGCCTTATCTTATATAAAATATTATAAAAAATAAGATAAGGCGATGACGCACGGAAAAACAGAAAATTTTATATCCATTGTTTATATTTGATAGCCTAACTTAATGACTCTGTTCCTAAGTCTTGTTTAAAAAATTTTTTTGTTGTTTTGTAATAATGTAATATAAATTATTTTAAAAAATTTTTGTACATCATTAGGTTGATTATATTTATGAGCTTAACACTGACGAAGACTGTAGTACAGATAAAGCGTTTGTGTATTTTTACAAATATTTGAATTTTTAACATTAAAATCATTTATACATTAATTAGTTTGTTTTTAATGTTGCTTGTTAGTTGGCCTTGATTCACCAATTTAATAATTTGTTATTTCAAATACAGAGCGGGATTATTCATTATTTTTTATTTATATATTTTTATTATTAAAATTTTAGATATAATTATGTATAATTATATATAAATATATATAAATATATATAATATCTTATACTTTGCTATTTATAAATGGTAGTAATTTAATCAACCAACTCTGGCTATTTAATAATCTTTATTTAATATTCACGACGTTTCGGCCATGAGTTTCGGCCCTTATCAAGTGCTAAAACACAACTTTCTATATAGAAACTTAATTTCTGATCTTAAAATGTGACATGATATAATGTGAAACAATTTCCAATTGTTAAGAGATAAATTGATAAGATTAATTGATAAATTGATAAGATTAATTGATAAGATCAGAAATTAAGTTTCTATATAGAAAGTTGTGTTTTAGCACTTGATAAGGGCCGAAACTCATGGCCGAAACGTCGTGAATATTAAATAAAGATTATTAAATAGCCAGAGTTGGTTGATTAAATTACTACCATTTTTAATTATCATCTGGTGACTTCAGAGATTTTTACATCTTTTGCTATTTATAATTTACATATTTCTGTACATTTATGTATAGTTATGTATAATTGTATATAATTCTGCATAAATATATATGAAAAATTTTTTCCCGGGTATGTACAAGTGCGATCATATATGTATAAGTTTATCTGTAGTGCAACATTTTTGATTATGTTATTTTCAAAGTTATAATTTTGATTTTATGTATATGCCTGAAATCCCAAAATGTTGAATTCAACAGAGATAAGGAAATATGCGCTCTCGAATAAAGATTACCACGGAAATTTCCCAGCCAGACATCGTATCCTTGATCAGCTAATAGGTAAGCTAGAGTGCAAAAAAGAAACAGTCCTTGCAATATCTATTACGTTACTTGCATTTTTTCATATAACATAATCATATAATTTTATATAAAGTTATAATATCATTGAATGTTTCTACAATAGAAAAAAAATAGTCTCGGACTAGGAATAGGGATGTATTTGGATAAAAAAAAATTAATTAAATTCGTACCGAGTGCTTTGCCTTTGCCAAGAATGACCCAATCGGCGGAGCTACTTAAAAGACCGTGTTGCAATAATACAGGTAGAGAGCTGTTCCCACCTGGGATACGATGTAATGTCAAAAGATAGCCGTCTTCCGTCATTATGACGTGATTTTCCACGGGATAACCCGCTCTTATTATCATTTCCGGCTAAGGGAAAATTGAGAAAAATGAAAAAAAAAAAAAAAAAAAAACAAAATCAATCTAAAGTTGAAATTTTGTGCGACAATATTTATATAATATTTCTACTTTCGAAAAATATGTTTCTGTATTAAATATAAAACATTAACTAATTAAATGCGAAAGTAAATATATTTCTAATATATAATAACTAATAATAACAAATATTTCTTAAATATTTTAAATAAAATAAAATAGACATTGATAACTCTAAGAAGACACATAAATGATATAATATATTCGTATATAAAACTACAGAGATAAGTTTTTCAGCATAATAAAAATAGGATATTCTATAAAAATTATATTTTAAAAGCAAATTTTAACGAATCTTTTTATGTTTATCTTATGTTTTTATGTTTATTTTTTAAATATCTTAAATTTAGTTAAAATAATTTTAATGACTGTTTTATTATTATAAATATTTAATTATTGTAATTTTTTTGTATTATATTTAAAATAATTATATATACTATATATATTATATATTTTAAAGTAAACAAGAAAATTTAATGCTAACCAAAAGTTACTATAGTAATATAAAAAAAATTGGCTTTAAAAAGAAAAAAAGATAAGGTTATAATAGAAATACTTAATGATAATGTATAATTTTGCAAAATTTAAATGTTTTATGCTTTAAATGAAAAAAAAAAAAAAAAAAAAAAACAATCATAACGTAAAAACATTTTCTGATAACATTGAAAAAATTTAACTAATCAAAATAATGAAAATTTTAATCCTTATTTTTATGTACACTTACTGTGCTGAGAAAAACATCTGGATTGAATTTGGTGTTGTTCGATTGTTTCAAGGTGAGCCACTTTGCTTCCTCCATGAATACATTTTGTTCGGGGATCGTATCCGTTGCTGTATCAAAATGACTCCAAAACGACAGTAATATTAATGTTATTCTGATCCCCAATCTCATTGCATCAATGATTCAATTACGACAAAAAACAAACAATACGAGAGTTGTTTATAGCACTATTAAAATAGATACTGGCGAATAAAAAGTAAACTACTCTAGAGCAAGATAAAGACGACTGCGAGCAACTTTGATCTCTACACGATACTTATGATCAGAATACATTACCATTTTATTTACATTTATTTTTTATCAGATGAATAAAAAGAAGAGGAAGAAAAAAACAAATACTTGAGTTAGTAATCATATAATTGTAGAACGTTAGAGAAACATATTTATATATACATATGTGTAGAAAATATATTGTCAGAAGTACAGCAAGTGAAATAAAAAATATATAATATACTGTTGTGTGTCAAAGAAGTCTTCGGATGTTATCAAAATTTGATGGAAACCTTTTATGATTTGGCTAATATATTTTTTTTTCAAATTCATATACACTTTTGGCTTTTTTAATTATACTTTCACTTATTTGTATTTGTACATAATATCCAAATATACTGACACTCGCGTGGTGACTTGGTTATTGCCTTTCATTAACGATCTCTACGACTCAACGGCAATTGCCTCGAGCGCATATCTCTTCTTTCATTTTTATAACGTCGCTTTTTGGGAAGTCTCTTGATCGGAAGGAGTGCCTGGCAACAGGCCCTCTCGGTCAAAACCTGAGTGCAAGCAGAAGTCCTTTTGCTTCGCTTGCACTTTAGGCAATTTCGGTTTCGTGCGTGTCTCATCGCAGCGTTTGCGTTTCTCGCGCGATCGACATCGGAACTCCGATAGGTTAGCACCACACATATCTATGGTAAACATGCACGTATACACATATACACATGATAGGTTAGCACCACACATATCTAAACATATGCACGTATACAACACATACGCGTGAAAATGTTTTTAATATATAACTTTTTTATTAGACTTGCAATCTCACTTTTAATTGTTTACTAATAATTCTTCATATTATCCTTACCGCGTATACTATATTTCATGCATAGACAAACTGCAGAACTTTTTTATTAAATAAGTATTGTTACGAACTGATACAAAAAAGTCGATAACAAAACTGTAATTTTTTTATTTTTATATGATTTATATATGCAATCATAGCTAACGCGGTCCGTTTTTATAAGTACTTTAATCGTGGAAAAGGATTTGACCCGACTCGTTTCCTGACGCCTCGGATCTTTATTCCTAATTTGGTGCGACCTGTCCCGAGGCATATAACAATACTAATATATGTATGTTGCACAATAGTTCAATAATGATCTTAATTATTGTATTAAAATTAATGTTTCATAAAGGAGGATGTTAAAAAAGGTCGATTTCCCGATTATCGATGGAACCTAAAATTCGAGTTTCATGGGTATCTATGAACCATATAAGATGTAAAAATGATGGTCTTTTTTTCTAGAGATCTGGGGAAAGTATTGAAAATCTATCAAAACTATTGAAAATAGCGTCATTTGATCGATCTGAAGACTACTAAAATCGATGACATGGATGAATTTTCAATCAAACCAAGTTCTGGCCAAACCAAGATAAGTTAAACTTATCAAATAGTTTTTGAGATCAATAATGTTTTAATATCGGGATTGCAAAATTTAAAATTGCGGATCTAATATGGTGGATCAGTATTGAGAGAAACTAGATGCCAGGATGTAGTTACTTCCAAATAAAAGATCTGATTCCACATTCAAATACATTATGTTTTTTAGTTTGTTTATTTGTTTGTTAAATATTTTTGTTTCTCAATTGATTGCTTACAATTACTTATGTTTTATTTGTTGAATAGAATTTTTTTAGTTCTAACATAAAGAATATTAATAGTTCTCATATTTTCTATGTTAGAACTAAATAATTTTATTCAACAATGAAACAAAAATATTTAAATAAAAAACTAAAAAACATAATGTATTTAAATGTGGAATCAGATCTTTTATTCGGAAGTAACTATATCCTCGAATCTAGTTTTTTTCAATATTGATCTATCATATTGGATCCGCAATCTTGAATTTTGCGATCCCAATATTAAAACGTTATTGATCTGGAAAACTATTTGATAAGTGCTTAACCAGAACTTGGTTTGATTGAAAATTCATCCATGTCATCGATTTTATCGTTGTCTTCAGATTGATCGAATGACGCTATTTTCAATAGTTCTGATAGATTTTCAATAATTTTCCCAAGGATCTAGAAAAAAAGACCATTATTTTACATCTTATATGGTTCATAGATACCCATGGAACTCGATAGTCGGGAAATCGACTTTTTTTAACATCCTCCTTTGTCGCAAAATTTTTATCTCATGCAAAGAAATGAGCTTTGTTTTTTTCAGCATATCGTTTCCTATTTGTTTTATCGCAAGTTTTATAAATTTCAAAGACTTAGAATAAAATGGCAGGATCTTGTAATTGTATTTGTGATGCAAACTATTTTCATCTTTATACGATTTTATAAGAAAGTTTGTTTGAATTATAACGTAATTTTTATATTGTATCTAATTTAAATCTCGTGAGTTTATCCTCAATAGCTAAAAATAATTTGAGTGCTATTAGTTATTATTTATCAATGTTTTAAATTAATTGCATTTTCAACGAAAATTTTGAATTGAAAAAAATGTACTATTTCTATAAAATTTTATCTTGTATCTTTTATATATGAGAGATGAGAGTTTCAATCGAAATTTGTGGATCAATATTATTACAATAGTATTACACTGTATAGTGACAGTTTTATTAATAGTAATATAGAAAATATATACATTTATAGCTTTATAGAAACATTACAAATTTGTAAAGTGTAAGATTTATATTGAGAAATAATGTTTTTAAAATTAAATACTCTTCATATATTCAAGAGTAATTTACTGAATGCATTTCTGTGTATTTGTCATATTTCAGCCAAACTTTCGATCCATCGCGACGAATACATTATTAGACGGAACAATAGCTTAAAAATGCATGTATTATTCTAATTTGTGTTAGTACTAATTATAAGTAATAATACAATATTATAATATTATAATATTTATATTTCTTTAAAATTAACGATTGGAGTTGTCATCAATCTCTTGCCCTTTTAAATGTTTAACGTATAATAATTATTTCATTATTTATTATTTTTATTATATCGACGTTATTCCATAAATGTAACTTTATTCCGTAAACGTAATATTTGAATTCTCCTCTGTGATGATCGTGAAAACTCTTTCGTACACGAGTTTTGGCGCATCCTTGGCCCATACAAAGTCCACGTGATTAAAATTAGGCAACGGTATTTCATATAGGTCTATTACGTTTGGTAGTAAACGGGACAATCTCTTCACATCCTTAAAAAAAAGTTTTCACATCTTTAAAAAACAAATTATTTTTTGTGCCATCTTTTTTAAACTATTTTTCCGTTTCCATGTCTAAAGTTTGATTTATATACTATTTTATCGCAAATCAATCTCTACTATGTACATACTCAAGTAGCAAATTGATGTCATTAGACGTTAAAATAATATCATTTTGACGTTTTTGAGTTCAGTCCCTTGTAGAAATTTATCACTAGTAAGTCCAATTAATCATTTATATATTTCGAATACTTAGATTACTGATATACAGTAATTTAAATATTCGAAATAAATGATTAATTGGATTTACTAGTGATAAATTTTTATAAGGGGTCTACTATCTGGGTATATATATATAGGATGTTTTACAGTTAATTATATTTTAAAATAGATCATTTCGAGATATCATTTATAGACCTATAGGTTGATCTCTAAACAAACTGTAGTTATATATCTAACAAAACTATAGTTTTGTTTAAATAAAACAATTTTATTTTTTTCATATAAATTGATTCCTCGCAATATTCGAAATAAAAAGTTACAAGGGTAAGATGGCCAAAAAGTGAATAATCTACGTCATATTTTATCTTACAGTTGAAAATTGTATTTTAATAACATGTAAATTTTAATCTGACATAAACTTATGAAATGTCAACATAAAATACATAGTATTCAATATTTTACCTTAAAACTTTTACAGTAATGAAAGGAATCAATTCATGTGTAAAGAAAATACATAGCTCTCTTCAAAAGTATATAATTTGCAACTAGCAGCTACATGACCTTGAAAAACGCCACTCAAAGTCAATTCTAGGTCACGATATTATCTCTCTCCAAAATTTTTCAACTTTTATATAGAAAAAAATTGTTAGGTAAATGGTAATAGGAGCCTGGCGTACGTTAGGTGCAAATGTGTCGAGAATTAATTAACTTAAGTTATAAACGCGATATTTATTATTCAAATCCATAACAATACAGTTTATCTCAACAATAATCGCGGACGTTTCGGATTCTTCTTAAGGCCATCTTCAGCGCTAAAGTTATCAAAAATATCAAAACAAAAAGAATGAAGTAAAAAGTTCGTTTCCTCGCAGTGAACATTGTCTGAATTAACAATTCAATAAAGAAACCGTCGGTCCGTAGCATGGTTAATCTCAAATTTCTAATTGTCATCACCATGACGTCCCAAAATTAAATCCCTCCAAGGTTGATAAGCCAAGAATAGACTAATCAAGGACACCATGATGAGATCTTGCACTAAGGTCATAATGTAAAAACAATCGGACCTTGACAACAAATAGCCGTAACTTATAATACACATGATCAGAACGCAATTAAATATTCGGAATAAATTAAAATAAAAATAAAAGAATAAATTAAAATATGGTGATGACATTTAGAAATTTGAGATTAACCATGCTACGGACCGACGGTTTCTTTATTGAATTGTTAATTCAGATAATGTTTACTGCGAGGAAACAAACTTTTTACTTTTTTTATATTTTGATATTTTTGATAATTGTAGCGCTAAAGATGGTTCTAAGAAGGGTCCGAAATGTTCACGATTATTGTTGAGATAAACTGTATTGTTATAGATTTAAATAATAAATACTGCCTTTATAACTTAAGTTAATTAATTTTCGACACATTTACACCTAACGTGCGGTGCCAGACTTTTATTGCCATTTACTTAACGATTAATTTTTGATTTAGAGAGCCAAATTTAGTAACTTAGTTTTATATAGAACATTTTTCTATATAAAAATATTTTATTTCCAAGAAAATCGACTGTATCACTTAAAATGCAACATCCTGTATATATTTCCATTATGTAAATACCTATTTTTTTTTTTTGTTACTTACAACAGGGTCGGCCACCAAGTCATTGTTGGCGTACAACAAAGCGATTGGTACCATGATTTCCGATAGATCGTAATCCGGAGGTTCCACCGAGTTGTACATCATCAGATTTTTCTCGCGACCGTAGTCATATTCGCGAAATTTTCTCGATTGAAATGTTTGAATGTAGTGAAGAAGTGTCTTAACCGAGGAGCCGGCTGGGTCGTGCTTCATGATGAGAGGTAACAGAGTCTAAGTAGAAACAAGAACATGGAAGCAAAGGTCCGATCCAAAAGTCGAGGTGAAATATGATCGCAATTGAAACTTTGATTGCGATAGAATTGTAATTCAATCGTCGAATTATACTACTCACGTAATTGAATTGTTCAGAGTTGTAACCGTATATTAGGAACATCATTTCGACGCAAAACTCCTGCGTCGTTAAACTCTGGTTGCAGAAATTCGCAAAAAATTTGGTCCAATCTCTCCGCAGAAATTCGCCGCGAAACAGAACTTCCATCATTTTCTGTAATCAAAGATCTGTTGTATTATATCGTGATATAATTTGACTTGCCATTCTTTTATCTTTTTATGTTTTAATGATAATTTTGAGAAAATAAATAAATAAATTTTTAATAATTTAATATATTTTTAATATAATTTATGGAAGTTTTGATCTTAATTGTAACTTGTCAAAAAAAGAAAGAAAGTTGAAAAACATCTCTAAACTTATTTTGAAAGATTCAATTATATGATAAAAACAAGCAATAATATATATATGTAAAACATTAATTTTTTAGTTTTTAGAATTCATTTTTTTTTAATTTTTCAAAAAAGGAAATCCTTACTTTTCTTATTTGAATTATGTAAGATACATATTTTTTTTATTTAATTTTGCTACGAAATACATGTGATAATTATAACTATTGTTGTTATAATTATAATTAGATAATAATTGATTTTCTATATGATAATTGCATATAAATTTCCATTCAAACAATCAAACATTTGCAATAAAAGTTTAAATCATAATATCTGTAATTAGTTAAAAAATGCAACTTTTTTATTTTAATTATTTACATACTTCAATCTTGTAATTCAAAAATTATCGTCCAGCTATTCAAATATAAATTTTTGCTTTCCAATTTTTTGTTTTATAATAATATTAAAAACATGTGTCTACACATATAATATATATATATATATATACGAGACATTTTTTTTATTTTAAAAAGTGTATTATTTTTACCTGTTATTTTGCAATGCATTGTTTTCTAACAGTATTTACATATAGAAACGTATATTACTTTACCTGAAGCTCACTGAAAAAGGGCAGAAAATATCGTATCACACTTTTCATATGGTTTTTAAAGGCTAATGGTGCGAGGCTGATCATCTTTTGTACCATTCGAGCGATTTCCGGACGCTTTGATGCCATTATATAAAAACTGGTTGTACCCATCGAATGACCAATGTACGCGTGTAATGGTTGTGACGTCATATTTGTAATAAATGTAATCATTGCAGGTAAATCGTAGATGCCCATTTCGTGATAGCTGATAAAATATTTGATGTATCGTCATAAAAAATATAAATATACATATATATTTCCACATATAATATTTATAATTAATTTAACGTATAAGACGGGCAACAAGAGCCAAATCGCGGATGACAATGCGTTATCCTAACGAAACTAAATAATTTTTCGTTAGAATTAAATACCGGTGCACAAGGCACCAAATTTTACTTGGACACGGCCAAGATTTTAAATATGAAATAATCTCATATTTTGAGATTTAATTTCAATACCCCTTTAACCCCCCTACGGAAAATAAATAAATGAATGCAAGAGAAAAATATAGATCCGAAAATCGCTGAATCGGGAATCGAACCCGAGACCTTTCACTTGCCGGGCGACTGCTCTTCCAGCTGAGCTATTCAGATCCTTTCGATTCTATACTTTTCTCTGTTATATATATTAATGTTGGTAAACAAACGCATTTTTTAAGCCAGCGTGTATCAAATATAAGAGTTTTAACAAGGCTCTGTAATATAAATATAAATTTAACGTATAAGACGGGCAACAAGAGCCAAATCGCGGATGACAATGCGTTATCCTAACGAAACTAAATAATTTTTCGTTAGAATTAAATACCGGTGCACAAGGCACCAAATTTTACTTGGACACGGCCAAGATTTTAAATATGAGATAATCTCATATTTTGAGATTTAATTTCAATACCCCTTTAACCCCCCTACGGAAAATAAATAAATGAATGCAAGAGAAAAATATAGATCCGAAAATCGCTGAATCGGGAATCGAACCCGAGACCTTTCACTTGCCGGGCGACTGCTCTTCCAGCTGAGCTATTCAGATCCTTTCGATTCTATACTTTTCTCTGTTATATATATTAATGTTGGTAAACAAACGCATTTTTTAAGCCAGCGTGTATCAAATATAAGAGTTTTAACAAGGCTCTGTAATATAAATATAAATTTAACGTATAAGACGGGCAACAAGAGCCAAATCGCGGATGACAATGCGTTATCCTAACGAAACTAAATAATTTTTCGTTAGAATTAAATACCGGTGCACAAGGCACCAAATTTTACTTGGACACGGCCAAGATTTTAAATATGAAATAATCTCATATTTTGAGATTTAATTTCAATACCCCTTTAACCCCCCTACGGAAAATAAATAAATGAATGCAAGAGAAAAATATAGATCCGAAAATCGCTGAATCGGGAATCGAACCCGAGACCTTTCACTTGCCGGGCGACTGCTCTTCCAGCTGAGCTATTCAGATCCTTTCGATTCTATACTTTTCTCTGTTATATATATTAATGTTGGTAAACAAACGCATTTTTTAAGCCAGCGTGTATCAAATATAAGAGTTTTAACAAGGCTCTGTAATATAAATATAAATTTAACGTATAAGACGGGCAACAAGAGCCAAATCGCGGATGACAATGCGTTATCCTAACGAAACTAAATAATTTTTCGTTAGAATTAAATACCGGTGCACAAGGCACCAAATTTTACTTGGACACGGCCAAGATTTTAAATATGAAATAATCTCATATTTTGAGATTTAATTTCAATACCCCTTTAACCCCCCTACGGAAAATAAATAAATGAATGCAAGAGAAAAATATAGATCCGAAAATCGCTGAATCGGGAATCGAACCCGAGACCTTTCACTTGCCGGGCGACTGCTCTTCCAGCTGAGCTATTCAGATCCTTTCGATTCTATACTTTTCTCTGTTATATATATTAATGTTGGTAAACAAACGCATTTTTTAAGCCAGCGTGTATCAAATATAAGAGTTTTAACAAGGCTCTGTAATATAAATATAAATTTAACGTATAAGACGGGCAACAAGAGCCAAATCGCGGATGACAATGCGTTATCCTAACGAAACTAAATAATTTTTCGTTAGAATTAAATACCGGTGCACAAGGCACCAAATTTTACTTGGACACGGCCAAGATTTTAAATATGAGATAATCTCATATTTTGAGATTTAATTTCAATACCCCTTTAACCCCCCTACGGAAAATAAATAAATGAATGCAAGAGAAAAATATAGATCCGAAAATCGCTGAATCGGGAATCGAACCCGAGACCTTTCACTTGCCGGGCGACTGCTCTTCCAGCTGAGCTATTCAGATCCTTTCGATTCTATACTTTTCTCTGTTATATATATTAATGTTGGTAAACAAACGCATTTTTTAAGCCAGCGTGTATCAAATATAAGAGTTTTAACAAGGCTCTGTAATATAAATATAAATTTAACGTATAAGACGGGCAACAAGAGCCAAATCGCGGATGACAATGCGTTATCCTAACGAAACTAAATAATTTTTCGTTAGAATTAAATACCGGTGCACAAGGCACCAAATTTTACTTGGACACGGCCAAGATTTTAAATATGAAATAATCTCATATTTTGAGATTTAATTTCAATACCCCTTTAACCCCCCTACGGAAAATAAATAAATGAATGCAAGAGAAAAATATAGATCCGAAAATCGCTGAATCGGGAATCGAACCCGAGACCTTTCACTTGCCGGGCGACTGCTCTTCCAGCTGAGCTATTCAGATCCTTTCGATTCTATACTTTTCTCTGTTATATATATTAATGTTGGTAAACAAACGCATTTTTTAAGCCAGCGTGTATCAAATATAAGAGTTTTAACAAGGCTCTGTAATATAAATATAAATTTAACGTATAAGACGGGCAACAAGAGCCAAATCGCGGATGACAATGCGTTATCCTAACGAAACTAAATAATTTTTCGTTAGAATTAAATACCGGTGCACAAGGCACCAAATTTTACTTGGACACGGCCAAGATTTTAAATATGAAATAATCTCATATTTTGAGATTTAATTTCAATACCCCTTTAACCCCCCTACGGAAAATAAATAAATGAATGCAAGAGAAAAATATAGATCCGAAAATCGCTGAATCGGGAATCGAACCCGAGACCTTTCACTTGCCGGGCGACTGCTCTTCCAGCTGAGCTATTCAGATCCTTTCGATTCTATACTTTTCTCTGTTATATATATTAATGTTGGTAAACAAACGCATTTTTTAAGCCAGCGTGTATCAAATATAAGAGTTTTAACAAGGCTCTGTAATATAAATATAAATTTAACGTATAAGACGGGCAACAAGAGCCAAATCGCGGATGACAATGCGTTATCCTAACGAAACTAAATAATTTTTCGTTAGAATTAAATACCGGTGCACAAGGCACCAAATTTTACTTGGACACGGCCAAGATTTTAAATATGAGATAATCTCATATTTTGAGATTTAATTTCAATACCCCTTTAACCCCCCTACGGAAAATAAATAAATGAATGCAAGAGAAAAATATAGATCCGAAAATCGCTGAATCGGGAATCGAACCCGAGACCTTTCACTTGCCGGGCGACTGCTCTTCCAGCTGAGCTATTCAGATCCTTTCGATTCTATACTTTTCTCTGTTATATATATTAATGTTGGTAAACAAACGCATTTTTTAAGCCAGCGTGTATCAAATATAAGAGTTTTAACAAGGCTCTGTAATATAAATATAAATTTAACGTATAAGACGGGCAACAAGAGCCAAATCGCGGATGACAATGCGTTATCCTAACGAAACTAAATAATTTTTCGTTAGAATTAAATACCGGTGCACAAGGCACCAAATTTTACTTGGACACGGCCAAGATTTTAAATATGAAATAATCTCATATTTTGAGATTTAATTTCAATACCCCTTTAACCCCCCTACGGAAAATAAATAAATGAATGCAAGAGAAAAATATAGATCCGAAAATCGCTGAATCGGGAATCGAACCCGAGACCTTTCACTTGCCGGGCGACTGCTCTTCCAGCTGAGCTATTCAGATCCTTTCGATTCTATACTTTTCTCTGTTATATATATTAATGTTGGTAAACAAACGCATTTTTTAAGCCAGCGTGTATCAAATATAAGAGTTTTAACAAGGCTCTGTAATATAAATATAAATTTAACGTATAAGACGGGCAACAAGAGCCAAATCGCGGATGACAATGCGTTATCCTAACGAAACTAAATAATTTTTCGTTAGAATTAAATACCGGTGCACAAGGCACCAAATTTTACTTGGACACGGCCATGATTTTAAATATGAAATAATCTCATATTTTGAGATTTAATTTCAATACCCCTTTAACCCCCCTACGGAAAATAAATAAATGAATGCAAGAGAAAAATATAGATCCGAAAATCGCTGAATCGGGAATCGAACCCGAGACCTTTCACTTGCCGGGCGACTGCTCTTCCAGCTGAGCTATTCAGATCCTTTCGATTCTATACTTTTCTCTGTTATATATATTAATGTTGGTAAACAAACGCATTTTTTAAGCCAGCGTGTATCAAATATTTTACCAAAATATATAAAATTCTGTGTAAGTTATTTATAGTTATATATAATTTTATATGACTTATTATATATGTAATTGTATATAATTAAACATAACTATTACAGAAGTTTATATGCTTATATATAAAATTATATATTTTATACATAAGTAATATATATTTTATATATATATATATATATTTATATATTTTTTATTATAATTTCATATATATTTTTATAATTTTAAATCGTTATATATGATTATATATAAAAAAATTTTTATCGGGAAGTGTTATGGCGCCGATTAGGCAATTTCTACCAAAATAATTTAATTAACGGAAAAGTAAAAGAAACGAACGACACGAAAATTTTCCAAAGTATCGAAATATATATATTATCAAATAATAAGTAAAACGCGCGAGAGCAAGATAAGTACGACTGCGCACAATTTTGTTCTTTACACGGTACTTATTGTTGAAAATGAATTGTCATTTTGTTAACAATTATTTTTTACCAACTGAAAAAAAAGTAAAGAAAACAAGCATAATAGAATTATTATTCATACGATCATAGGGCATTATAAAAATATATATTTATATACTTATGTAGAAGATAGATTGTCGGAATTATACAGCAAGTAAAACAAAAGAAAATTTGCATATTGCTTTTTCGTCATATTAATTCAATTATGGCTTCCTCGTAGAGAAAGCTTAACTTGCACATTGATTGATCAAAATTTAATTTCACACATTAAAATTCCTTAATTTTAAAAAATTGTATGAAATTTATTTTGTATAAAATTGCATTGTTTATTTTATTTCTTATAAGAATTAAAACAAAATTAACGTAATCACGTTTCAAAAATCATGGGTCAATATTAGTGTATGAAAAAATATATGTTGCATTAAAGCAATGTGTACAAAAACGAAGAGAATGTGAAACAAGATGGAACATATTTTTGTATAACTCTCTTTAGAATTCGTTTTCCTTTTTTGTAAATTTTGGAAACAAAAATCTAATAACTATTATTTAGATAATTTTTTCTTTTGTTACGAGAAATACGTTTCATTCGATATACATAGAATGGTTGAAAAGTTAATTTCCGAATAGTATAAAAAATCAAAAAATATTTTTAAAATATCTAAAGAACAATTAGATATTTTAAGAACAATTAGATGTCTTTAATTTTTAGACATTTTGTTTAAACATGTGTGCTGTCATTGGATTGTAATATTATGTGTTGTAGTAATACTTAAAAAATACTACACTTATAATTGCATTTGTATTATTCTAATTCGCATTATTACTAATAGTAAATTATAATCAAATATTATTAATTTTTATAATTTTTAAATTAACAATTGCAGCTGTTGTAAATCGTAGGCCTTATTAAAGGTTTAACAATTAATATTTATCTTATTATTTATAATTTTCTATATATCGAGACGTAATATTATCTGAATTCTTTCCTTTGATGATCTGGAAAATTCTTTCGTACACGAGTTTTGGCGCATCCTTGGCCCATAGGAAGTCCACGTGATTAAAATTGAGCAATGGTATTTCATATAAATCTATTACGTTGGGTAGTAAACGAAACAACCTCATCACATCCTTAAAAAATGTTTTCGTGAATTATTATGTGTCATCTTTTATAACTATTTTCCGTTTTTATGTATAAAGCTTGATTTATATATAGTTTTATTGCAAATCATACCTATATTGTGTATATATATATATATATATGTATATACAGGGTGTTCCATTCTAATACAATTAATTATTTCAAATTTAGATAAATAAATATAGAAATCAACCTAGTTTTTTTATCAGACCCATTTTATTTTTCTTACATAATCGATTCCTCGCAATATTTGACATAAAAAGTTGTATATTTATATAACTCAAAAATACTTTTGCACAATATAATGGGAAGAATCAATTAATGTAAAAAAATATCTAGTTCTTTGATAAAAAAATAAATAATTTACAACTAGCAACTATATGACATTGAAAAACGCCATTCAAGGATAATTCAAGGTCACGATATTATGTCCCTCTCAAAAACCTTTCAACTTTTATATAAAAAATGTTTATATAGAAAATGTTTTACTTCTAAAAAAATCGATTGTATCACTTAAAATGAAACATCTTGTATATACATTTTCATTATTTAAATACCTATTTTTTTGTTACTTACGACAGGATTGACCAACCAGTCGTTGTTGCCGTAAAACAAAGCGATTGGTACCGTGATTTTGGTTAAATCGTAATCCGGAGGTTCCACTGAGTTGTACATCAACAGATTTTTCTCGCGACCGTAGTCATATTCGCGAAATGTTCCCAATGGAATTCCTTGAGTGTAGTGAATCCATGATTTAGCTGAGCTGCCAGCAGGGATGTGATTCATGATGAGAGGTAACAGATTCTAACAAGTAGGAAACAAAAATGACATGTAAGCAAAATCCGAACCGAAAAGTAAAGTAAAATATGATCAAAACTTTGATTGTGACGAAATTCTATTTTATTTCAATGGTAGAATTATACTACTCACGTAATTGAATTGTTCGTAGTCGAAACCGTTTATCATAAATATCACATTGAGGCAAAATTCTTGCGTGGATAAATTCTGATTGCATAATTTCGCAAAAAGTTTAGTCGAATCTCTCTGCAGAAATTCTCCGTGAAATAAAACTTCCATCAATGTCTGTAATTGAAGATCTGTTGTATTATATTGTAATGTAATTGACTTGCCAGTCTAATTTTTTCTTTAAGTTTTAGCGATAATTCTGAGAAAATAAATTAATGTATTTTCAAGCAATTTTTAATTATTTAATAAATTGATATGATTTATGGAAGCTTTGATCTTAATTGTAACTTTCGAAAAACCTTTCCAAACTTAATTAAAAAGATTCAATATGTGACAGAAACAAGCAATAGTAAATGTAAAACAAAAAAATAAATTTTTTAATGTAGAGAATTAATTATTTATAAATCTTTAAATTTTTGTTGTTTTGTCTTGTTTCTAAATTAAATTGATAAGAGATAAATCTTTTCCAATTAATTTTACTCGGAAATATTCATTTTATTCTACACACATAAAATAAAGATTAAAATTGGAAAGTAATATGTTATTTGTACATTTTTTGTTATAATTATATTTTGTAATAATAATTTCTAAATAATAATTACATATGATATAATTTGCATATAAATGTTAATTGAAATATTGTATTAATTAAAAATTATGATTATAATAAAATCTATCTGAAATTAGTTAGTTAAAAAATGCAATTCTTTTGTTTTGATTATTTATTTCAATTTTGTAAAGAATTATTGATATCAAGCCACTCACACCACATAAATTTTTATTTATTGTTTTACAATTATATTTTAAATTTCAAAAAATGGTGTGTTTATACATTTAGTATGTGAATAGAAGATATTTTTTATTCTAACCAAAAGGTATTATTTTTAACTATTATTTCGCATAAATAAATTAATTTTTAACAAATTTGCATGTAGAAACGTATATTACATACTTTACCTGAATCTTTCTTGCAAAGGGAGCAAGATATCGTAGCAAACCTTTTATATGGTTTATGAAAACTGCTGGCCCGAGGCCGATCATTTTTTGTACCATTTGAGCGATTTCCGGACGTCTTGATGCCATTACATAAAAACTAGTTGAGCCCATCGAATGACCAATGTATGCGTGCAATGACTGTGATCTCATATTCGTAATAAATGTAATCATTGCGGGTAAATCGTAGATGCCCATTTCGTGATAGCTGATAAAATATTTAATGTTTTGTCATATAAATATAAATACATACATATATTTCCGCATATAATATATGTATAATATAAATTTATACATATTATACATAATATGTGTGTGAACATATATATCTTTTTAAGAAACATTATACATACTAATTTGCATATAAGAAAATGCAGATATCGGAAATATACAATATTTTCAGAACTTTGCCAAAAAAAAGGAAATGTTCTAGACAGCACACGATATTTATGATAAGGATATATGTATATATATATACCGGGTGTCCCAGACCATCTATACACCTCTATTCTTCTAAAAACTAAGCTTTTAGAGGAAAATGTTTTATATATATATATATATATATATACATATATATATATATATATATATATATACACGTGTATAAACATATAGAAAAAAAATATGTATGCATATAAAATTATATGTATATATTAGGAATCATAAATAAGCTCATCCAGTGCTACGTTTTTGATGTCATTTTCAAAGTTAAATTTTGATTTTATGTACCTGAAATCCCAAAATGTTGAGTTTGACGGAGATAAGGAAATATGCGCTCTTGAATAGACATTACCACGGAAATTTCCCAGCCAGACATCGTATCCTTGATCTGCTAGTAGGTAAGCTAGAAGACAAAAAAGAATAAACATTCTTTGCAATATCTATTACGTTATTTTTTTCATATAACATATAATCATATAACTTTATATAAAGATATATAATATTTTAATATTTCTAGAATAGAAAAAAGTTTTGGATTCGTATCTGGATTAAAAAAAAAATTAATTAAATTCATACCAAGTGCTTTGCCTTTGCCAAGAACGATCCATGCGGCGGAACTACTAACAAGACCGTGTTGCAATAATACAGGTAGAGAATTTTTGCCACCTGGGATACGATGTAATGTCAAAAGATAGCCATCCTCTGTCGTTATAACGTGAGCTTCGGCGGGGTAACCTGTTCTTTTTATCATCTCCGGCTGGAAGAAAAATGAATACTTTAAAGAAAGAAAGATAAAATCGATCTAAAGTTGCAATAAATTTGTGCAAAATGCATATTTTTACTTTCGAAATAATGTGACGTAATTCTGTAATAAATATAAAACATTAATAACTCCATTAATATTTATAGTAATTAATACTAGCAAATAATTCTAAGATATTTACAATAAAATAAAATAGACGTTAATAAATAAAAGTTGACATATAATTGATGTAATTTGCAGGGATATGTTTCTATGTATAAAGAATAAAAGCATGACGCTCGACAAAAATAATTTTAAAAACAGATTTTTAAGGAATCTTTTTTATGTTTATGTTTTAAATCTCGTAAATTTTAATTAAAATCAAGGTTGATATTCTTTAGACGATCAAACCGGCTAATGATGGAAAAATTACTTTATTTATTCAGTAACGTTTCGATTCTGAATTGGGTCCTCTTCAGACTACATAACAGACAATGTGCTTTTATATAACAAAAATATGACAACAAGTTTGAAATAATAAAATTATATAATGATATAAAAAATTATACACACTAATATAAAAGAATTTAATAGAAACCTGATATATATATGTTGTACAAAAGATTACACAATATACATATATGATGACTATATGTGAATTAATTTCAATAAATTATGCGTGAACACTAGTAAATGACCATACGTAAATAACAATTCAGTCATCATTTAACCGTGTGCACTAACAATAAGTAAAAGCACAACATAAACTGATATTAGTCAAAAATATCTCAAATATATAGAAGTTAAAAAAGAGAAATAAACATAATCCAAACAATAAAAAAGAAAACAACAAAGTAAAGGATAATTAGAATACGTTAAGAATCATGTCATAAATAGCGTTAAAATTATCAGTGTCCCTTTATAAATTAATAGCATCTTTGTGTTTTTTAATATAAATCATTTCGCTGATTTCTCTCTTTTTAATATTACATTCATTATGCAAAATAGAAACCAACGACCAATCAATTTCATGATTAAGCATAACCCCATTGTTACTAATAACAGAGTGATTGCTCGTGCTTTTTTATATTATTATAATACAATGCTCTCTAATCCGTGTCCCCAGATAGGGTTTGGTTTGTCCAATATAGCATTGCCGTATAGTAATTACTAATTACACGTAATTTTATAAACAACATTCGTTCTCCTGCCACGTAAAAGTTGATCCTTCCCTTTTACAATCAAAGTGTCAAGCTTTTTGAGAACCGTATAAAGAATACCCAATCCATGTTCTTTAAAATCCGACGAACAGCCTCACTTAAACCCTTGATGTACGGAAGGACTATAGATTTCGACAAGTCCAGGGCTTTTTTAAAACTCATTATTTGTTCATCACTCAAAGAGAATATAGATCTTAATCTCTTGTTAATCACCGAATTACAAACATCCACCGAATAACAGTGGCAATTTCGACGTAAGATCATTTTCGATCATTTACTGTTAGCATTAAAGAAATTAAACTAATCTACATAATGAAAATTTTAACTTACCGTGCTGAGAAAAACATCGGGATTGATTTTGATATTGTTCCGTTGCTTCCATGTGGTCCATGTTGCTTCCTCCAATACATTTCGATTGGGCATCGTATCCGCCAGAGCTGCAGCAAGACGATCGCAAAATGATACGATTAACGTGATTCCGATCAATTTCATCGCATTAATTTGTCCTCTCGCAGAAATTTTCATTGGACCTTTGTGTGGCCCTGACCTTTCAGTCTCATAGAAATAGGCTGCATTCCATTTCAGGAACTGACCCGGCATTCTCGAATCGTCACGGTTTGCCCGCTGACGTCACAACTTGGGAAAGATTTGGAAGACGCAAATGTGGTGCCAGTAAGACCTGCATCTGCTCCATTTTATGGTGAATGCCACATCATTATATATAAGGCGCATGCATGGTGGCCCTGATGTGCATCTTTTCCAATTTTTTTTAATAAAGTGTATAGTGTAAAACAAACTTGCATGGTGCTGAGTCACAAGTTGTTATTGAGAATCCGGTAAAAAAAAAAAAAAAAATATATATATATATATATATATATATATATATATATGGTATATATATATATATATATATATATATTGAAAAACATTGATATAAAATTAAGACTTATATAAACGAAAAGAAATATAAAAAAAATATTTAAACATATATTTAAAGAAACATTAATCAATTAGGGAAATTAATATTCAATGTTTCAACGGTAAATTATTTATTAATCAATATTTAACGTTTATTCACTTTCGCGAAAATTTATCTAGTTGGTGTATAATTATGTAAATAAGATATCATTAAATATATAATACTATATACATACATATAAAAATATACAATTATATTGTAAAAAGGCATATAAAATATAGTATATAATTTTATTGTAATATGATTTGATAGAATAATTATATACATTTAAAATTTCTTTTTAAATCAAATTTGATTTTATGTCTCGACCGTCGTAAATATATAGACAGATCGACAAGCACATGCTGTTGGTATAAAATTGATTACTGTATTAAATTGATACTAATATAAACATATTTGTTATATATTGCTATTGATATCGTTATCGTCTGTATTTTCTTACAATTATTACATATTATAAACTATACTACATTACAGAGCTATTTTCTAGATACATCGCTGGAACAGATTGTTTAAAAAGTATTGTTGCAATTATTCTGTATATATTAATTCTATATAATACTAAAATATAAGTTTACAATTCATAAAATTACTGATTGCACCTGTCATCAAAACGTAGCTATTGCTAAAGATTGAGCGCGTTACATTAATTTTTTTTAATTTTGTTGCCAATGTATTATTTATATTATCTTTTCTCATAATCCTGAAAACTTTCGCAAACCAGTTTGGTGCATCCTTGGCCCAAACAAAGTCAAAGTGATTGAAATTAGGCCAAGGCACTTCATATATACACTACATATTACATTCGGTAAAGGTTGTTTTGCGCATTACATTCTGTACATTTTTAAATTCTTGAAACAAACAATTTTTTTTTAACTCAACTCTTGTATCGTACAAATTTTGATTCATATACAGGATAAGTCATCAGAAAAAATATACGAAATATTTCATAGTTTATGTGAAATTATGTCAAATTAAAATATAAAATGTCTCGTAAACTATTCACTGTTTGGCCATCTTACTTCTTATAATTTTTTATGCCAAATATTACAAGGAACTGATCTGTATAAAAAAATTAGGATGGTTTCATTAAAAAAAAATAAATAAATGACCTTTAAACAATTTTAAAAAGCGCTTTTCAGAAAAATATTTTATACGGTATAAAAATATACCGTATAGAATATAAACTATTACATTAATTAAACTCGCAAAACTTTTTTAACGAGACATCGAACAGTAAAAAGAGCAATAATAATTACCTATTTATACTTACCTATTTAAGAAACAAAATTTCGTGCAAGCCGTTATCCCCTCAAATCACAACTGTAATTTATTTGCATCTTTTAACAACAATGTTGAATTGGAAAAATATGTATCAAATTTATTTTATATAAAATTTTATCGTTTCTTTTATTTTTTATGAGAATTAAAACAAAATTAACGTAATCACGTTTCAAAAATCATGAGTCAATGTTAGTGTATAAAAAGATATATGTTGCATTGAAGCAACGTGTACAAAAACGAAGAGAATGTGAAACAAGATGGAACATATTTTTGTATAACTCTCTTTAGAATTCATTTTCCTTTTTTGTAAATTTTGGAAACAAAAATCTAATAACTATTATTTAGATAATTTTTTCCTTTGTTACGAGAAATACGTTTCATTCGATATACATAGAATGGTTGAAAAGTTACTTTCCAAATAGTATAAAAAATCAAAAGATATTTTTAAAATATCTAAAGAACAATTAGATATTTTAAAACCAATTAGATGTCTTTAATTTTTAGACATTTTGTTTAAACATGTGTGCTGTCATTGGATTGTAATATTATGTGTTGTAGTAATACTTAAAAAATACTACACTTATAATTGCATGTACATATTATTCTAATTCGCATTATTACTAATTGTGAATTATAATAAAATATTATTAATTTTTATATTATTTAAATTAACAATTGCAGCTGCTGTAAATCGTAGGCCTTATTAAAGGTTTAACGATTAATATTTATCTTCTTATTTATAATTTTCTATATATCGAGACGTAACATTAATTGAATTCTTTCCTCTGATGATCTTGAAAATTCTTTCGTACACGAGTTTTGGCGCATCTTTGGCCCATACGAAGTCCACGTGATTAAAATTGAGCAATGGTATTTCATATAAATCTATTACGTTGGGTAGTAAACGAAACAACCTCATCACATCCTTAAAAAATGTTTTCGTGAATTATTATGTGTCATCTTTTATAACTATTTTCCGTTTTTATGTATAAAGCTTGATTTATATATAGTTTTATTGCAAATCATACCTATATTATGTATATATATATATATATATATATATATATGTATATACAGGGTGTTCCATTCTAATACAATTAATTATTTCAAATTTAGATAAATAAATATAGAAATCAACCTAGTTTTTTTTATCGGACCCATTTTATTTTTCTCACATAATCGATTCCTCGCAATATTTGACATAAAAAGGTGTATATTTATATAACTCAAAAATACTTTTGCACAATATAATGGGAAGAATCAATTAATGTAAAAAAGTATCTAGTTCTTTGATAAAAAAATAAATAATTTACAACTAGCAACTATATGACATTGAAAAACGCTATTCAAGCATAATTCAAGGTCACGATATTATATCCCTCTCAAAAACTTTTCAACTTTTATATAAAAAATGTTTATATAGAAAATGTTTTACTTCTAAAAAAATCGATTGTATCACTTAAAATGAAACATCTTGTATATACATTTCCATTATTTAAATACCTATTTTTTTGTTACTTACGACAGGATTGACCAAATAGTCGTTGTTGCCGTAGAACAAAGCGATTGGTACCGTGATTTTAGTTAAATCGTAATCCGGAGGTTCCACTGAGTTGTACATCAACAGATTTTTCTCGCGACCGTAGTCATATTCGCGAAATGTTCCCAATGGAATTCCTTGAGTGTAGTGAATCCATGATTTAGCTGAGCTGCCAGCAGGGATGTGATTCATGATGAGAGGTAATAGATTCTAACAAGTAGGAAACAAAAATGACATGTAAGCAAAATCCAAACCGAAAAGTAAAGTAAAATATGATCGAAACTTTGATTGTGACGAAATTCTATTTTATTTCAATGGTAGAATTATACTACTCACGTAATTGAATTGTTCGTAGTCGAAACCGTTTATCATAAATATCACATTGAGGCAAAATTCTTGCGTGGATAAATTCTGGTTGCATAATTTCGCAAAAAGTTTAGTCAAATCTCTCTGCAGAAATTCGCCATGAAATAAAACTTCCATAAATGTCTGTAATTGAAGATTTGCTGTATTATATTGTAATGTAATTGACTTGCCAGTCTAATTTTTTCTTTAAGTTTTAGCGATAATTCTGAGAAAATAAATTAATGTATTTTCAAGCAATTTTTAATTATTTAATAAATTGATATGATTTATGAAAGCTTTGATCTTAATTGTAACTTTCGAAAAACCTTTCCAAACTTAATTAAAAAGATTCAATATGTGACAGAAACAAGCAATAGTAAATGTAAAACAAAAAAATAAATTTTTTAATGTAGAGAATTAATTATTTATAAATCTTTAAATTTTTGTTGTTTTGTCTTGTTTCTAAATTAAATTGATAAGAGATAAATCTTTTCCAATTAATTTTACTCGGAAATATTCATTTTATTCTACACACATAAAATAAAGATTAAAATTGGAAAGTAATATGTTATTTGTACATTTTTGTTATAATTATATTTTGTAATAATAATTTCTAAATAATAATTACATAATATTATGATATAATTTGCATTTAAATGTTAATTGAAATATTGTATTAATTAAAAATTATGATTATAATAAAATCTATCTGAAATTAGTTAGTTAAAAAATGCAATTCTTTTGTTTTAATTATTTATTTCAATTTTGTAAAGAATTATTGATATCAAGCCATTCACACCACATTTTTATTTATTGTTTTACAATTATATTTTAAATTTTAAAAAATGGTGTGTTTATACATTCAGTATGTGTGTGTGTATGAATACGAGATATTTTTTATTCTAACCAAAAGGTATTATTTTTTTAACTATTATTTCGCATGAATGAATTAATTTTTAACAAAATTTGCATATAGAAACGTATATTACATACTTTACCTGAATCTTTCTCGCAAAGGGAGCAAGATATCGTAGCAAACCTTTTATATGGTCTATGAAAACTGCTGGCCCGAGGCCGATCATTTTTTGTACCATTTGAGCGATTTCCGGACGTCTTGATGCCATTACATAAAAACTAGTTGAGCCCATCGAATGACCAATGTATGCGTGCAATGACTGTGATCTCATATTCGTAATAAATGTAATCATTGCGGGTAAATCGTAGATGCCCATTTCGTGATAGCTGATAAAATATTTAATGTTTCGTCATAAAATTATAAATACATACATATATTTCCGCATATAATATATGTATAATATAAATTTATACATATTATACATAATATGTGTGTGTGAACATATATATATATATATATATATATATATATATATATCTTTTTAAGAAACATTGTACATACTAATTTGCATATTAAAAAAAGCAGATATCGGAAATATACAATATTTTCAGAACTTTGCCAAAAAAAAGGAGATGTTTTAGACAGCACACGATATTTATGATAAGGATATATGTATATATATATATATATATATATATATATATATATATATATATATATATATATAAGCTTTTAGAGGAAAATGTTTTATATATATATATATATATATATATACAAGCGTATAAACATAAAGAAAAAAGATATGCATATAAAATTATATGTATAGGATATAAGTAATCATAAATAAGCTAATCCAGTGCTACGTTTTTGATATCATTTTTAAAGTTAAATTTTGATTTTATGTGTGTACCTAAAATCCCAAAATGTTGAGTTTGACGGAGATAAGGAAATATGCGCTCTTGAATAGACATTACCACGGAAATTTCCCAGCCAGACATCGTATCCTTGATCTGCTAGTAGGTAAGCTAGAAGACAAAAAAGAATAAACATTCTTTGCAATATCTATTACGTTATTTTTTTCATATAACATATAATCATATAACTTTATATAAAGTTATATAATATTTTTGAATATTTCTACAATAGAAAAAAGCTTTGGATTCGTATCTGGATTAAAAAAAAAATAATTAAATTTATACCCAGTGCTTTGCCTTTGCCAAGAACAATCCAATCGGCAGAACTACTAGCAAGACCGTGTTGCAGTAATACAGGTAGAGAATTTTTACCACCTGGGATACGATGTAATGTCAAAAGATAGCCATCCTCTGTTGTTATAACGTGAGCTTCGGCGGGGTAACCTGTTCTTCTTATCATCTCCGGCTAGAAGAAAAAAAACGAATATATTAAATATTTAAAAGAAAAATAAAATCAATCTAAATTTGCAATAAAGTGTTAAATTGCAAATATTTTTACTTTCGAAATAATAATATGACGTAATTCTGTAATAAATATAAATAATTAATAATTTATTAATATAAAAGTAATTATTTATTATAATATTAGCAAATAATTCTGAAATATGTACAATAAAATAAAATAGACATTAATAAATAAAAGTAGACATAATTAATGTAATTTGCAGGAATAAATTTTTTAGTATAAAAAATAAAAGTATAATGCTCAACAAAAATTATTTTAAAAGCAAATTTTTATTGTATACGATGTAAAGGAGAAAATTTAATGTTAATTAAAGAGATGCTAATAATATACATATATGTATATATATGTATATATTCACATTAAAATTTTTAATTGGTTTTAGAAAGCGAAACAAATTATATAAATGCTATGATAGAAATAATTAATGCCAATGCATAATTTTGCAAATTTTGCTTTAAATTCTTTAAGATCTTAATGATAAAAACAGCGGCAATTTTGACGTAAGACCATTTTCGATCATTTACTGATAGCATTAAAGAAATTAAACTAATCTACATAATAAAAATTTTAACTTACCGTGCTGAGAAAAACATCGGGATTGATTTTGATATTGTTCCGTTGCTTCCAGGTGGCCCATGTTGCTTCCTCCAATACATTTCGATTGGGGATCGTATCCGTCAGAGCTGCAGCAAGACGACCGCAAAATGATACGATTAACGTGATCCCGAGCAATCTCATCGCATAAATGAGTCTTCTCGCAGAAATTTTCATTGGACACTTGTGTGGTTCTGACCTTTTAGTTTCATAGAAATGAGCCGCATTCCATTTCAGAAACTGGCCTGGCATCCTCGAATCGTCACGATTTGCCCACTGACGTCACAACTTTGGAAAGATTTTGAAGGCACAAATGTGGCGCCAGTAAAACCTGCGTCTGCTGCAGTTTATGGCGAATGCTACACCATTTATATATAAGGCGCATGAATGGTGGCCCTGATGCACATTTTTCCAATTTTTTTAATGAAGCTATGGTGTAAAACAAACTTGCATGGTGCTGAGTCAAATTGTTATTGAGAATTTGGTAAAAAGTTTTTTTATGTGCAATAATATATAACAATATAAAATTATATAGAAATACCATATGTATATATAATTCTGCATAATTTATAAATGTTATATATGACTTATGTAATTATATATAATTTTATATTAATGTTGGTTATAAATTCATCCAAATAAAAATGTATGAAATTTTCTATATTTTGATATATATATATATATATATATATATATATATATATATATATATATATCAAAAAACGTTGAAATGAAATTAAGATTTAATAAATAAAAAATAAATACAAAAATATATTTGAACATATATTTAAAAAAACGTTAATCAATTAGGGAAATTAATTTTCAATGTTTTAACGGTAAATTATTTATTAATCAATATTTAACGTTTGTTCACTTTCGCGAACGTTTATACAGTTGGTGTATAATTATGTAAATAAGATATCATTAAATATATAATACCATATACATATATATAAAGATATACAATTATATTGTAAAAAGGTACATAAAATATAATATATAATTTGATTGTAATATGATTTGATAGAATACTTATATACATGGATAATTTCTTTTTAAATCAAATTTGATTTTATGTCTCGGCCATCGTAAATATATAGACAGATCGACAAGCACATGCTTTGGTATAAAATTGATTACTGTATTAAATTGATACTAATATATTGTAATTTAAACATATTCGTTATATATTGCTATTGATATCGTTATTTGTTTGTATTTTATAATTATTATATATTATAAACTATATTATATTGTAGAGCTATTTTCTAGATACATAAATCGATCTATTACTTGCTGGAACAAATTGTTTAAAAAGTATTGTTTCAATTATTCTCTATATATTAATCCTATATAATACTAAAATATAAGTTTACAATTCATAAAATTACTGATTGCACCTTTTCGGTGCATATTTGGCCCAAACAAAGCCATAGTGATTGAAATTAGGCCAAGGCACTCCATATACATTCATTACATTCGGTAATGCGCAAAACAACCTTTTCAAATCCTTGAAAAAACGATTTTTTTTAACTCAATTCTCGTATCGTACGAAATTTGATACATGATAACGCATTGTATAGTATATGATTTGCAAATAGCAGCTACATCTTTTTTTTTTAAACAACTATGTATTTTCTATATTATAAATTTTATTGTATAAAATATTCACATACATTTTTGTATCTAAATAAATAAAATTTGTTGAAATTTATTACAATATTTATAATTTTATTTTACATTAATAAATTGTAAATGTAAATAGAATTCACAGAAAGGATCATATATAAAATTATAGAAAATAAAGAGGAATGCATTAGACTTTTATATAAAAGTTTAAATTTATCTCGATATATTTCGACATTTCCTGTGACGCAAGATTGAAAAATAATTAACAATCCGTAACAAGATGTCAAAACATTTCTTTTTAGCGAATATTGCGTGATTTTACGAACAACGCAAAATGTGTTATGACGCTAGTGCATTAATGTATTAAGATGAAGTCATCGGAATAAAAATATTATACAAGATATTTAACAGTTTATGTAAAATTATGTCAAATTGAAATATAAAATGTCTCGTAAACTATTCATTGTTTGGCCAGCTTACTTCTTATAACTTTTTATGCCGAATATTGCGAGGAATCGATTTGTATAAAAAAATTAAGATGGTTACATAAAAAAATTAAATGATCTTTAAGAAATTATAAAAAGCGCTTTTTAGAAAAATATTTTCCGTAAATTAATAAATAATAATTATGTATTAATCGGGGTGATAGATTAAAATAGGATATCCTGTATAATTATATTGCGAATAAATCTCTACTATGTATTTTTTTTCTAACATACTAATTTATTATATTTTTTGTCATTTATCACTTACCACGATGTCAACAAACGTGTCACCAAGGCCATGAAACAATGCGACCTGTGATTTTCGACAGTAGTCCGGAGGTTCCATCGAATTATGCATCAGTAAATTTTTCGTTTTTAAGTTAAATATATAGTTATATTGATAACAGGAGCTATTGAAATCAAATATGTTATATTTAACGCTTTTTTATATCAGATTTACAATGAAATACTGATTTATAGCTTAGCTTCTAAACTGCTTTGCTTATATCGGCTTTACAAAGCAAAAGTATGCTGATCTTCCAGAAATTTTTTCATCAATATTTTATATATCTTTCCTTTAAGTTTATATCTTACTCATACGACAATTCCTAAATGCTAGTTTGAAGAATTTACCGAAAAACAGACGGTGATACAATAGAACACATAATTTTTATCTAGCTTGATGGCTTTGGATGCATTCATGAATGCATATAATTACATATTTTTGGATTAAACCAAATTACAAAACTTTACTCTGAAATGAAAAAAGCATAGCTGTTATAGTATAAAAGGATTATTATTCCTGTTTTTGCGTCATAACACATTTTGCGTTGTTCGTAAAATTACGCAATATTCGCTAAAAAAGAATGTTTTGACATCTTGTCACGGATTGCTAATTATTTTTCAATCTTGCGTCACAGGAAATGTCGAAATATATCGAGATAAATTTAAACTTTTATATAAAAGTCTAATGCATTCCTCTTTATTTTCTATAATTTTATATATGATCCTTTCTGTGAATTCTATTTACATTTACAATTTATTAATGTAAAATAAAATTATAAATATTGTAATAAATTTCAACAAATTTTATTTATTTAGATATAAAAATGTATGTGAATATTTTATACAAACAATGTATATTATAAACGCAGTCATATTAATTACAATCAAGATGTAAAATGGTTCTCGTGAAAAATATAAATATTCGATAATATTCGATGTAAGAAGTCAATTTTCAGAGATGATTAGAATGAGTTGAATTAATTAATCCAGATATTTATCTCTCAAATATTTGTATCTGTAGAAAAGGTTTATATATAAATATAAGAATTATATGGAGAACATTGGATTGTTTAAACTTAATAATTCTAGTGCTACAATGATCGTTGCATTTCTTTTTTACTAAATTGCAACAGTATTAACGATTGCGATGTTGAAATCGACAAAAGACATTGTTTCATAGAAAAATCTAGCAATAATTGTATCAAAGATAAATATTTATGCTTCAACACTGATATATGTCTCCCGAGAAAAGTAAGATAACTACAAATTTAAATAAAACTAGACTACACAAGTGTGCTTTCTGCGCGCCTTTGATTATTTCTATTATTTATTTTATAACTGCCAAATTCTTAATTTTGCGATGACAGTTGCTTGATTCTATGAATATGACCATAATTTTAATTCGTCAAATTTCTATTATATACATAATTTTAATTTGTCGAATTTCTATTATGTACATAACTTTAATTCGTCGAATTTCTATTGTATTGTTTGAGAACTATTTTGTATCTCTTTATATATTTTTTTCTCATTTTGTTTAGTTAAATATAATTACGTGCCCAAAACAAAGTTATATTATTTTTTTATAAAACCATAAAAATTGCAATGTATGTATAAAATTATTATTTTAATGCATACATAGAAATATATTTATTAATTACGTGACTCATAAAAATTTAATATATACTTTTAACAGAAAACAAAATATAATTTTCTACACGAATTTTTTGGTCAAAATATCTGCGCTTCCATTAGATTCGCGCTTCTATATGCTGCACGGCTCGCGCAAAACTGATCACGTGATCATCAATTTTGCATTCGCGAAATATATTTTTTTCTGTTTTTTCTATCAGAAATAATACACCCCATATATTTGTAACGCGAGCGCATGACCGATGGTCACATGATCAGTGGCCACGTGACTTCGGTTTCGACTTCGCGATATCTCGCTCGCACGAGAACCAGTGAATCCAGTTTCGTGCAAGCCGCGCAACATGATATGGGTGTATAGGTGTGGAGTCTCGCTTGAGTCTAATGAAAGCGTAGATATTTGATCAAAAGATTCTTGTCGAAAATTTTATTTCTTCTTTCGTATTTCCTGTTAAAAAATTAAATATTGAATTTTTATGCATAATTATAATTAATATATTTTTTTATGCATTGATTGCAATAATAATTTTTGCATGCATGCGTCGCAATTTTTGAGATTTTATTATTGAAGAATAATATAACTTTGTTTTGCATCCGTAATTATATACGATTAAATTAAACAAAATTATAAATATATATACATATACATATATGGGACGTTTCGCGTCAAGTGGGCTACTTCTTCTTTCAAAAATTAACGCAATGAAAAAAAAGTTTAAGGTCTCAAAATATTTGTACATTTGTATACTTTCGAAAGGAACATGGCCTTTTTAAAAATTCAATATTTTAATTAATATGACAATTATTGAATAATTTTATATTTTTTAATAAATTTTATTTAATGAATAAATATTATATTATATTTTAAATTATATAATATTTTATTCGATAAAAGAGTTTACTATACACTATTAAATTCATTAATAAGCCTAAACAAACATCTTTAATTTTCAGAACTTCTGCAATTATTTTTGTTATTTATTTAAAATAGGCCTTCATTAATTGGACTAATTCTTTGGGACATTAAATTGCAGTAGTACAATTTCATATGTTACAATTACACCAGCCACCTGTAAATAAATTTAATATAAATCTTTAGTGATTGTTATAACTATTATGACAATATTTTATAAAAATACGTAAAATATTTATTACATATAATATAAAATATATGACAACAAAATTTCAATTATGTTTTTGTTTCTCACATTAATTTGTATATAGTTAAATCAAATATATACACATATAAATAAATATGTACACAGAGAATTCTTGAGAATATGTACCATTATTGTGCATCTATCTTTTTAGAAGGAAATGTTACAAAAATATAAAGTCAATTTATTTTCGTCCATTAATGTCCATTCTTTTTGCCTTGTCTTTTTGTGACTTATTAAGAATGATAAGTACTTCCGGAAAGTCGCCCTAGGTATCTTTTTAGAATTCACAGTGAATAATCGTTTTGTTTTCAGCATTATGCCATTTCATCGTTGATGTTTAAGAAAACAATTATTCCGTTGAGAATTTCTTGATAGACCATTGAATTAATTATTTCATCAAGATAAATACATTAAGTGTATTATTCTTGGTCTTTGGGGACGATAAATAAAACATGCTGCTTTTTTGCATGATAGACGTTTATGTAATATGTTTAAGTGAGATAAATGTATTGGTATAAATAATATTAATGGCTATGTTATATAGTAATGTCCAGTCAATGACTGTATTATCTAGCAATTATACAAATCGATTTTATACCGATAGCATGTGCTATCGATCTGTCTATATATACGTTAGCTGAGACACGAATTTAAATTTGATCGGAAAAGAAATTGTACATTATATTTAATTATGTATAATAATAATTATTAATTATTACATAAATTGATTTTATACCGATTGCGCATATGCTTGTCGATTTGTTTATATATTTACGATAACCGAGACCACGAATTTAAATTCAATCGGAAATAAATTATCCATATATAATTGTTTAAAAATATGTATAAGTATACAATAGAATATATGTTCTTTTACTTATATACATATACTTTCTCATTTATACTTCACAAGAATAATTAAAGATGAAAGGCGTATGCATTGTTTTTTCGCAGATATAAAGTTTTCGTGATTAAACGTTAATAAATATTGTATATGTTAATAATTATTGTATTAAATTTGAAATAAAATAAATTGTTGTTTGAAAATAATTGCTTACTTGCCATTTTTTCGTCTTTATATTAATATATTGTAATTTAAACGTATTTGTTATATATAGCTATTAATATCGTTTTTTATATTGTTATATTTATTATATGTATATTGCTAAAAATTTAGCGTATTACATTCATTTTTTTATTTTCATTGCCAATGTAACATTATTTACATTCTCTTTTCTCATAATCCTGAAAACTCTTTCGTAAATCAGTTTCGGTGCATTCTTAGTCCAAACAAAGTCTAAGTGATTAAAATTAAACCAAGGCACTTCATATACCTCCATTACATTCGGTAATGCGCAAAACAACCTGTTTAAATCAAGCTGAAAAGATTTTATGAAGAAAATAATTATAAAATATAATCATTATATATATATATATATATATATATATATATATAATGATTATATTTTATAATTATTTTCTTCATAAATATATATATATATATATATATATATATATATATATACAATAGCTAGATTAAAAAAAATTTTTATAACAAAGATTTGTACGGCTAAAATATATTTTAATTAATATGACAATTATTGGATAATTTTATATTTTTTAATAAATTTTATTTAATGAATAAATATTATATTATATTTTAGAATTATATATTTTTTCAAAGAAAAAGTTTGCAGTACACTATTATATGTATTCATTAATAAGCCTAAACAAACATCTATCAATTTTCAAAACTTTTGGAATTATTTTTGTTATTTAATTAAAACGGGCCTTCATTAATTGGACTAATTCATTCAGAATTTTAATTGCAGTAGTACGATTTCATATGTTACAATTACACCAACCACCTGTAAATAAATTTAATTTTAATATTTAGTGATTATTATAACTATTATAACAATCCTTTATAAAGATACGTAAAATATTTATTACATATAATATAAAATATATGACAACAAAATTTCAATTATGTTTTTGTTTCTCACATGATTTTTTTGTATCTAGCTAAATCGAATATATACACATATAAATAAATATGTACACAGAGAATTCTTGAGAATATGTACCATTATTGTGTATCTAATTTTTTAGAAGGAAATGTTACAAAAATATAAAGTCAATTTATTTTATTAAAGCTACTGTGTGCGTTTACATTGTATATAAAATACAGCAGAATATGAATATAGCAGAAAAATATGATCTGTGGCTTACCGCTAACATGAAATTTCGTGTAATAGAAAAAAAACCCAATCCTGTAAGTGAGATATTGTCAGTACTGAGTTGATATATCAGCCTTTCTGTCTGTAAAACAAATTATCATAAATAAAGGACTTTATGCAACAAATTAACAAAATTAATTGTTCCATATAAAATGAGACAATTTTGAAAAAACTAGTATTCTCTCTTATTATTATTTTTAATTATAATTATTTACTTCTATATTATAGGTAGAACTCGAACAAGTGTACAACTTCGGCAAAATAATTTTGCTTTGATCGTTGATCCTTGCAGTTAGCAGAATAACGAACACTGTTCTGCCAATTAGGAATACGAAAGATCCAAAAAAATATATATCATTTATGATGCCCTCAGCTGGCTGGCTGTACAAATGAAGTAAATAAATTCAGAAATTCACGTTTGCATTTTATATAGCATTTGTATCATTTATATTTATTATTAAATGTTGATTTAATATTAAATAAGATGTTTCGAAAATTATATTATTATTACAATATTAATTATATTGCTGCTGCTATACCGATAAATAAATGTAAGAAACAAATTAATTTTTTAATAAATTTACGACCCCATAAACAATGTTTTTTTTGTTATGATTTTTTAAATGTGAATTACACAGAGGATCAAATATAATTCTTGCAAAAGTAAAAATGCACACATTAATGGTGTAAATCGTTGTGTTTTATGTAGCTCTTAATTGGTAATAATTTTTGCTCTCCTATATATCATACTTACGATAATCCATTAAGTAGTTGCAAACTGATGAAATAAAAGTTGTTCGCAAATGATAAAAGAATTATAGGTGAGATATTGTTGTCTACCTTCTTCACCATGCAACTAAGAACAGCATAATCTTCGCGAAATCCACACCAGTCTGTTATCCCATGCTTCAATGCAGAAGTTGTTACTTGCTTGTTCAACGTCTTGTATCTTTCAGCTAAACCGGTAGCTATCTGAAGACTCCGACCAAAAGATTCAATTAAAAAAATGAAATTGAAAATAATAAAATTGATAAAATCGATTAAATAAAAAAACATTTTTCAAACAATAGAAATTTTATTACCAACATGATGAAAACATCAGTAAAGTTCCATGTAAAAGTTGCCAATTTGTTGACGATAAAAATAAAAATGCCGAGTGCAAAGTTATAATTTACTGAAAATAAAAATTAATTTAATATTTCTTAAGTATTCAAAGTTTTTCAAATTTAAAAGAGAAGAGAGATGAAAAAAACAATTTTAGAAGAAATTTTTGCAGAAAAAATATAAGTTGCAACAATTTTATTTTACAAAAATAATTTAAACAGAATTGTCAAAAATTTTAAAAAGAAGTAAATTTTATGATCTAATATTTATGATCTAAATTAAATCTAATATTTTTTATGTATGGATTATATATCTTCGACTCAATATTAAATATATTTCTTATTTCCACGATTAGAATAATTAAATAACTTCTATGAATGATACTTTTAAATTAATAATACTTAATAAATTATATATATAAATTTATATAACACAACGCTTACATTGCTCCATAATAAACGCATGTGAAGACATGCAATATATTTCCAAGAAATGTTCAAATGTCGTATTTTTCAAATTGCCATTCCAATAAAATTTCTCCGTATTTATTGCTATATTCAGAATATTTTCGCCAAGAGCGAAAAATAAAATTGTAGCAGTTATCAAATAAAATTTCCAACGAAGTTTCGGTCGTTCCACTTTATTACTGTAAAACCGAAAGTATTTGCTACAAATACATTATACCATCAAATTTTGTAAAACAACATAAAACTTAATTAATTAAAAAATAATATTAATTATTATAATTTTTAATAAGAAGTAATCGATTCTTATTCAAACTCTTCTAAAATAGGAATAATTTTGCAGGGGTTTTTAAATATTCACACCGATATAAAGATTGCAACTGATGATATCTCGATGATGTCAGACTTTTAATGCTACATACGGCTTTGATGAGTCATATACATTTCAACATTGTTATATACTGTATTTAAGGCAATAAAAATTGAACTATTACGAAAGCAAAATAATTATAATAGTATATACATATATATATTATAACTTGCTTTAAAATTATTTTGAAAAATATGTATTAATATTTAAAAACTGATATCAATAAACCTGTCTATAAATTGTTCCATAGCTCTCCAATCGCGTTGAAGAGTTACCCAACGCGGTGATAGCCAGACAAATATCATCAAGCTGATTACATTATTCCCGTAAAATATTACAGATACTATTCCTCCTAAAATTCAATTGTATATTTATAAACATAGAATTTGTGCATCGAAGAATTAATATGTGCATAAAAATAAGTAATCTGTCATTTATTTCCACAATTATGAGATTTTATTTTAAAAGAATGATCTTTTCCATTCTCGAAAATACAAAACAAAAAAGAATCCAATTCATATTATTTGATTCTTAGTTTATAACTTTTTATCCGTAGTTTATTTTCTTATTCCCAAAAAGAGACTGATCTGTTGAATTTCAATTAATTTTAATTAATGTTTATTTATAGGAATCATTCTTATATTTCTATTCTCGCTTTAATATGTACATAATGAACGTATGTCACTTTCTAGATAAGATAGATCCGACATGTGCACAAAGCATATGAATGATCTCTGTTTACCTCCTATTTTAAAAATTGAGACGTCTAGTGTCTTTATTATGTGTATAATTGCCAATATCGCCACAACGAATACCATGACAATTATAGAAACGGCATAGAGAGTACGGAATGAAAAAATTGCAAACTTTAACTTCAAAGGGGTCGGTGCACATATTCCTGAGACTGGCAAAACTCCGAATAATTGGGCAAACCCTAAAATAGGCCCTATTGCACATTGGAAGCTTTCTGGATTCTGCAAAAGAATTTTCAACGCCGGTATTGCTTTTATATAAATATGGATTTAGTATATTTTATATAATGATAATATAAATATATTAGCCGCTATATACACACATATAACAACAAGGAATGATCTGGCCTTTCAAACTTCTTTTAGATTTCGTTGATATTGATACTTTCCTTTGAATTTTGTTTTATTTTATTTTCTAAAAGCCTTTATATTTTTTATAGATATATACTTTCTTTTTTTTTCTAAAGCACTTCTAGAGCATATACTTCGTAATGTATAAGCAAGTAGGAAATTTTTTTAATATACTTACATTACTGCTCACAGATACAGTTCGAGAATTTTCGTTGATTAAACCACTGCGACGAAAAGATCGCACTCTCGTCGGATCTGGAGGATGCGATTCCGTAAATTGAGTATCCATTCTTTTCGTCTTGTCTTTTTGTGACTTATTAAGAATGATAAGTACTTCCGGAAAGTCGCTCTAGGTATCTCTTTAGAACTTACAGTGAATATTCGTTTTGTTTTCAGCATTATGCCATTTCATCGTTGATGTTTAAGAAAACAATTATTCCGTTGAGAATTTCTTGATAGACCATTAAATCAATTATTTCATCAAGATAAATACATTAAGTGTATTATTTTTGGTCTTTGGGGACGATAAATAAAACATGCTGTTTTTTTACATGATAAACGTTTATGTAATATGTTTAAGTGAGATAAATGTATTAGTATAAATAATATTAATGGCTATGTTATATAGTAATGTCCAGTCAATGACTGTATTATCTAGCAATTATACAAATCGATTTTATACCGATAGCATGTGCTATCGATCTGTCTATATATACGTTAGCTGAGACACGAATTTAAATTTGATCGGAAAAGAAATTGTACATTATATTTAATTATGTATAATAATAATTATTAATTATTACATAAATTGATTTTATACCGATTGCGCATATGCTTGTCGATTTGTTTATATATTTACGGAAACCGAGACCACGAATTTAAATTCAATCAAAAATAAATTATCCATATATAATTGTTTAATAATATGTATAAGTATACAATAGAATATATGTTTTTTTACTTATATACATATACTTTCTCATTTATACTTCGCAAGAATAATTAAAGATGAAAGGCGTATGCATTGTTTTTTCGTAGATATAAAGTTTTCGTGGTTAAACGTTAATAAATATTATATATGTTAATAATTATTGTATTAAATTTAATATAAAATAAATTGTTGTTTGAAAATAATTGCTTACTTGCCATTTTTTCGTCTTTATATTAATATATTGTAACTTAAACGTATTTGTTATATATAGCTATTAATATCGTTTTTTATATTGTAATATTTATTATATGTATATTTATTGCTAAAAATTTAGCGTGTTACATTCATTTTTTATTTTCATTGCCAATGTAACATTATTTACATTCTCTTTTCTCAATCCTGAAAACTCTTTCGTAAATCAGTTTCGGTGCATCCTTAGTCCAAACAAAGTCTAAGTGATTAAAATTAAACCAAGGCACTTCATATACCTCAATTACATTCGGTAATGCGCAAAACAACCTCTTCAAATCAAGGTGAAAAGATTTTATGAAAAAAATTATTATAAAATATATATATATATATACAATAGCTAGATTTAAAAAAATTTTTATAACAAAGATTTGTAAGACTAAAATATATTTTAATTAATATGACAATTATTCGATACATTTATATTTTTTAATAAATTTTATTTAATAAATAAATATTATATTATTATATATTTTAAATTATATATTTTTTTCGAAGAAAAAGTTTGCAGTACATTATTATATGTATTTATTAATAAGCCTAAACAAACATCTATCAATTTTCAAAACTTTTGGAATCATTTTTGTTATTTAATTAAAACGGGCCTTCATTAATTGAACTAATTCTTTAGGACATTAAATTGCAGTAGTACGATTTCATATGTTACAATTACACCAGCTACCTGTAAATAAATTTAATATAAATATTTAGTGATTGTTATAACTATTATGACAACAAAATTTCAATTATGATTTTGTTTCTCATATTAATTTGTATATAGTTAAATCGAATATATACACATATAAATAAATATGTACACAGAGAATTCTTGAGAATATGTACCATTATTGTGTATCTATCTTTTTAGAAGGAAATGTTACAAAAATATAAAGTCAATTTATTTTATTAAAGTTACTGTGTGCGTTTACATTGTATATAAAATACAGCAGAATATGAATATAGCAGAAAAATATGATCTGTGCCTTACCGCTAACATGAAATTTCGTGTAATAGAAAAAAAACCCAATCCTGTAAGTGAGATATTGTCAGTACTGAGTTGATATATCAGCCTTTCTGTCTGTAAAACAAATTATCATAAATAAAGGACTTCATGCAACAAATTAACAAAATTAATTGTTCCATATAAAATGAGACAATTTTGAAAAAGCTAGTATTCTCTTTTATTATTATTTTTAATTATAATTATTATATTTACTTCTATATTATAGGTAGAACTCGAAGAAGTGTACAACTTCGGCAAAATAATTTTGCTTTGATTGTTGATCCTTGCAGTTAGCAGAATAACGAACACTGTTCTGCCGATTAGGAATACGAAAGATCCAAAAAAATATATATCATTTATGATGCTCTCAGCTGGCTGGCTGTACAAATGAAGTAAATAAATTCACAAATTCACGTTTGCATTTTATATAGCATTTGTATCAATTATATTTATTATTAAATTTTGATTTAATATTAAATGAGATGTTTCGAAAATTATATTATTATTACAATATTAATTATATTGCTGCTGCTATACCGATAAATAAATGTAAGAAACAAATTAATTTTTTTATAAATTTACGACCCCATAAACAATGTTTTTCTTGTTATGATTTTTTAAATGTGAATTACACACAGGATCAAATATAATTCTTTCAAAAGTAAAAATGCACACATTAATGGTGTAAATCGTTGTGTTTTATGTGGCTCTTAATTGATAATAATTTTTGCTCTCTTATATATCATACTTACGATAATCCATTGAGTAGATGCAAACTGATGAAATAAAGATTGTTCGCAAATGATAAAAGAATTATAGGTGAGATATTGTTGTCTACCTTCTTCACCATGCAACTAAGAACAGCATAATCTTCGCGAAATCCACACCAGTCTGTTATCCCATGCTTCAATGCAGAAGTTGTTACTTGCTTGTTCAACGTCTTGTATCTTTCAGCTAAACCGGTAGCTACCTGAAGACTCCGACCAAAAGATTCAATTAAAAAAAATGAAATTGAAAATAATAAAATTGATAAAATTGATTAAATAAAAAAACATTTTTCAAACAATAGAAATTTTATTACCAACATGATGAAAACATCAGTAAAGTTCCATGTAAAACTTGACACTTGGTTAATGATAAAAATGAAAATGCCGAGTGCAAGGTTGTAACTTACTGAAAATAAAAATTACATTGATATTTCTTAAATATTCGAAATTTTTTAAATCTAAAAGAGAAAAAAGACGAAAATAACAATTTTAGAATAAAATTTTAGAATAAATAAATATAAAATATAAGTTGCAACAATTTTATTTTACAAAAATAATTTAAACAGAATTGTCAAAAATTGTAAAAAAAAGTAAATTTCATGATCTAGTATTTATGATCTAAATTAAATCTAATATTTTTTATGTATGGATTATATATCTTCGACTCAATATTAAATATATTTCTTATTTCCACGATTAGAATAATTAAATAATTTTTATGAATGATACTTTTAAATTAATAATACTTAATAGATTATTATATATATAAATTTATATAACACAACGCTTACATTGCTCTATAATAAACGCATGTGAAGACATGCAATATATTTCCAAGAAATGTTCAAATGTCGTATTCTTCAAATTGTCATTCCAATAAAATTTCTCCGTGTTCATTGCTATATTCAGGATATCTACGACAAGAGCCCAAAATAAAATAGTAGCAGTTATCAAATAAAATTTCCAACGAAGTTTCGGTCGTTCCACTTTATTACTGTAAAACCGAAAGATTTTGCTACAAATACATTATACTATCAAATTTTGTAAAGCAACATAAAACTTAATTAATTAAAAAATAATATTATTTATTATAATTTTTAATATGAAGTAATCGATTCTTATTCAAACTCTTCTAAAATAGGAATAATTTTGCAGGGGACTGTGGTTTTTAAATATTTACACCGATATAAAGATTGCAACTGATGATATCTCGATGATGTTAGACTTTTAATGCTACAGACGGCTTTGATGAGTCATGCATTTCAATATTATTATGTACTGTAGATAAGGTAATAAAAATTGAATTATTACTAAGGCAAAATAATATATTCCTATATTATAATTTGCTTCAAAATTATTTTCGACTTTTTTCAAGTTTGTTTATCGATCAGTTAATTGTGAAACAATTTTCAGTTTTTCTTCAAATATTTGTATTAATATTTATAAACTAATATCAATAACCTGTCTATAAATTGTTCCATAGCTCTCCAATCGCGTTGAAGAGTTACCCAACGTGGTGATAGCCAGAAAAATATCATCAAGCTCATTACGTTATTCCCATAAAACACTACAGCTGCTATTCCTCCTAAAATTCAATTGCATATTTAAGAATTTAGAGTTTGTGAAAAAAAAATTGTGCATCGAAGAATTAATATGTGCATAAAAATAAGTAATCTTTTCTTTAGTTCCACAATTATGAAATTTTAATTTCAAAAGAATGATTTTTTTTATCCTCGAAAATATAAAATAAAGAAGAATCTATTTCATATTATTTGTTTTTTTAGTTTATCTTGTTTAGTCCGTAGTTTATTTTCTCATTCCTAGAAAGAGACTGATCTGTTAAATTGCAATTAATTTTAATTAATGTTTATTTATAAGAATTATTCTTGTACTTCTATTCTCGCTTTAATATGTATATAATGAACGTATGTCACTTTCTGGATAAGATAGATCCGGTACGTGCACACACAAAGCATATGAAAAATCCCTGCTTACCATGTATTTCAAAAGTTGAGGAGTCTAGTGTTTTTATCACGTGCATAATCGCCAATATTGGCATAACAAGTATCATGACAATTATAGAAACGGCATAGAGAGTACGAAATGAAAAAATTGCAAATTTTAATTTCAAGGGGGTCGATGCGCTTATTCCCGAGACTGGCAAAATTCCGAATAATTGGGCAAACCCTAAAATAGGCCCTATTGCACATTGGAAGCTATCTGGATTCTGCAAAAGAATTTTCTCTGCCGATATGGTTTTTACATAAGTATGGATTTAATATATTTCATATAATGATAATATAACTACATTAGCCGCCATATACACATATAACAATAAGAAATGATCTGACCTTTCAAACTTTATTTAGATATTGTTGATATTGATACTTTTCTTAGAGTTTTGTTTTATTTTATTTCCTGAAAGTCTTCATATTTTTTATAGATATATACTTTTTTTTCTTCTAAAGCACTTCTAGAGCACATATTTTGTAATGTATAAGCAAGTAGCGAATTTTCTTAGTATACTTACATTACTGTTCACAGATACAGTTCGAGAATTTTCGTTGATTAAACCACTGCGAAGAAAAGGTCGCACTCTCGGCAGACTCGGAGGATGCGATTCCGTAAATTGAGTATCCATTCTTTTCGTCTTGTCTTTTCTGTGACGTATTAAGAATAGTACGTTCTTCCGGAAAGTCGCACTATGTGTCTCTTTAGAACTGGCAGTGAATAATCGTTGTGTTTTCAACATTATGCCGTTTCTTCATTAATGTTTAAGAAAAGAACTATTCCGATGAGAAATTCCTGATAGATAATTGAATCAATTATATATTTTATCAAAATAAATATAATACATTAAGTGTATTGTCTTTGATCTTTGGGGATGATAAATGAAACACGTTGCTTTTTTTGCATGATAGGCGTTTATGTAATATGTTTGAGTGAGATAAATGCATCTATTAGTATAAAAATAATATTAGTATAAATAAAAAATATCAATACCTGTGTTATCTAGTAATGTCTAATCAATGACTGTGTTGTCTAGTAATTATACAAATCGATTTTATACCGATAGCATGTGCTATTGATCTGTCTACATACATTAGCCAAGATACGAATTTAAATTCGATGGGAAAAGAAATTGTACATGTATTTAATTACGTAAAAATAATTATTACTTCCCAGCAAACACAAATGTTACAGTAACATAACATAGATGTAATAGTTATGTTACAATGTAACATTTACAGCTATGTTATGTTACTGTAACATTTGTGTTTGCTGAGTTATTATATAAATTAATTTTATACCGATTGCGCACATGCTTGTCGATCTGTGTATATATATATATATATATATATATATATATTTACAATAACCGAGACCACGAATTTAAATTCAATCGAAAAGAAATTATACATATATAATTATTTAAAAATATGTATAAGTATACAATAGAATATATGTTCTTTTATTTATATACATATACTTTCTCATTTATACTTTACAAAAATTAGAACAAAACAAGCGCGCGCTACGCGCGCGACATTTACTTTATATATATATTTATATACACATACACAATAAATATATATAACATATTTTTTCTCTTTAAATTGTTCTAATTAATATTTCAATAAATAGTTATTATAGAATAATTAATGTTGATATGCAACAAAAAATTCTATGTAAGTATATATATATATATATATATATATATATATATATATATACCAGCTTTTCGGACCGCGCTTCGCGCGGTCCTCATATAGCCTATATTACAATAAATCCGTTTTAACACAAAAAATTAATTCTTTTTTTGTATTACCGCGAACTACTTCCACATTTGTTGTCCGACTTTCACGAAATTTATATCAAAATAAATGTTTAAATTTTTTTTGGATGACTACTATGTTATCTATTTCTTTCTCCCAAATATTTTATTTTACACCGCGTTTTGCATATATTTAAATATTTATTATATATTTTTATTTTTATTTTCTTGTTTATTTTAATTTCCACACAATTTCATATTTTTTAAATATAAAACATTATTTTAGTTAATATATACTTTAAATATTTTTTTTATTACTTAATTATTATATCCTTTTTTACATTTTACTCAATTTTTTTTATTTCTAATGTACCCACCGCTAACCCGCTATTATTAGCTCTCATACAATGTCATAATTCTTCAATTTACAAAATTTCCCTGTATATTACATTTTTGTAAAACATTTTTCACTTTCTTCAATTAAATGTCCTTGATTGCTACATTCATCAATTTTAATTTTTACACTTTCTCTTTTTGTTGCTCTAGAAAATGCCACATAAAGTTGACCATGAGCAAATACAGGATGTGGCAAATAAATTCCAATTTTTTCTAAACTTTGTCCTTGTGATTTATTTATTGTCATAGCAAATGACACTCGAATAGGAAACTGTCTTCGTTTAAACTTAAATGGCAGTTCCAAATCATTTGTAATTAAATCTATCCTCGGAATCATAACAATTTGTCCTCGAGCAGGACCTGTTATAACTTCTACATAAATTATATTATTTTTCAAATTAGTTATAATAAATCTTGTACCATTACAAAGTCCTTTTTTAGTATTTAAATTTCTTAATAAGATTACAGTAGCACCAACTTTTATTTTAAGCCGATGAACTGGCATTCCAGAAGGTGTCAGTGAGAAACTCAGTTGGAAAATTTAATTGCTCCTGTGGATCATCACTTACAATACAGTCAATAGAGAGATACTCCTTTTCTTCTCCTTCCATTAGACAAAGAATTTCATCATTAATTTTAAAAGTATCCTCATTTTTAGGACAAAGAATCGCTCGATCTTGATTTTCTCTAATCCTTTTCATGGTAATTCTATCACCAAAAATCTCATTAATAAGAGATTCTTTTGATATAAAATCTTGTGGAATTTTAATCGTGTCTAGATTTAGTCCATCTGTATTTGATAATTTACCATCTCCGAGTTGCATTAACCAATTTGCAAATTCTTTTTCTTCCGCAGTTCTCATATTTTGCTGTAATTTAACCTTAATTACATTCCTCCATATAGGATTGTATTTTACAGTCGATTCAATTATCGCTGTTTTGTGTAAATGAGGTACTACTGGAAGATTTTGTCTGAAATCTCCTGCAAATAAAATTACTTTTCCTCCAAATGGTTGATCATTCTTCATTAAATCCTTTAAAAGTTTATCAACTGTTAAGGCATGTCCAACAGTCATGCTCACTTCATCCCATATGATTAATTTTGCAGTGATCAATTCTCGTGCAGCTTGAGAATTTCCTCTAATATTTGATTTAGCTGCATCATCAATTGGAATTGTAAGCTTAAACAGAGAATGATAAGTTCTTCCTCCTTTCAGAAGTGTGGCTGCAATTCCAGTTGAAGCACATGGAAGAATTATTTCATTTCTTCCTCGAATAACACTTAGAAATGTGTTAAATAAATAGGTTTTACCACTTCCTGCAAACCCGTCAATAAAAAACAAACGCTTAGGTTCATTTTCATTTTCAATTGCTCGCATTACTATATCATACACGTATTTTTGTTCATCATTTAGTGTAGATAATAAATAATCACCATTATTTTTTTTTTTTCTTCATCTACATTATACTCTGTTTCGTAAATATTTATTTCAGTTGGATTTGGTAATTGAAATTTCTCACAACTACTTCCATTATTTATCAGAATTTGTTGTATATGGTTTAACGCCATATTTTCGGGATTTACAACATTATTATTTACAAAGTCCTCAATCATAAAATCTTTGTATTTATTCCAAATTGTTGGTACATCTATTGGATTTCCAAAGATGCAAATGTAAGCAAATAATTCTCGAAGTTGTGCAGGCATATTCGATTCTGTTGCTTCCTCCATCGTTTTTCCCCAAAAGTCATCAGTCTCTACTAAATTTTTTGCAATTGCTGCATCCCCCCCCTTAAACGTATTATAAATAATTCCATTTACATTTCTCAAATCTTCAAAACATTTTGCTCCAGTCACATGTAGTAGAAGAAGACGGAGATAAAATCTTTCAATATCTTTTATGCTTACTGTATATAGTCTTGAAATTATTTTTTCACCACCTTTTTTACGTGGCTTCCACTTAGTTTCTTTTTTTATATAAACATAATGATAAGGAATATCTGTATAAAGATAATTTGCTGCATTTTCATCATATTGATTTAATTTGAACCATGCAGTCAGCGTAGTATCTCGATTTAGCTCTCTTTGAGCAGCTTGTTCTTCATTTCCTGCTCGAAAATAAACCATTTGGCGATCAGGCAAATGAACTGCCAATCTTATTACTGTATGAGATTTCATGAACAGATCATATCCATTAAGTCTCCACATTGCTTCTGGAGCACTAACATATCTTGCATCCATGAATGAGTTAACCTCATCTATTCTAATGAATCTTGTACCATCTCGTGCTTGCACTTCAATTGCAGCACAATCAAATCCTTTATAAATATATTTATATAGATATTTTACGCTCTTCACTGATGAACATCCCATACAGCACAGATTATTGCAATTGTATTGCAGCAACGTTGCAATGTTGCAAGTTGCAATGCAACATTATAAAGACATTGCAGAGATATAGGTGCACAAAATTCCAGCACACTTGTAGCGACATGACATTAATATTTCGAAAATATTGCATGTAATCCAAATTCTATAATTTATATATATTGTAATATATATAAATTAACTACAACGTATTTTTGTTAATGATTTATTTACATTTATATACCTGTATATGCAACATTAGTTTATGGTTGCAATAACAATGCATTATTGCAAATTCATAACATTGCAATATTGTTGTAATATTTTGTTGCAATCTTCCAAAAAGCGGACATTTTAACATTGCTGCAATTCAACAGCAATGATGTAGCAACATTTTGCAGTGAATTTGCAATATTGCGGTGAAAGATTGTTGTAATGTTTTTGCAATCTATCGGTGCTGTATGGGATATTTCTAAATTAATATGTCGATTATATTTTATGATTAAATATGGTGAATACGGCACCACCCATCGATTATCCACTTCTTTATTTCTAACAATGTATTTTATTCCAATATCCCTACGTTGATAGATGGGATATCCATTTACATTAGCATTAGTTTTATCACTAAATTCTTTTGGAAATCCTTTTGAACATTTTCCATCGTCCCCAGTGCAAGGATATCTCCTCGAGGGATCTCCACATGGACCGTGAATCATGTGTTTCAAAACTTTTTCATTAAGTTCTGAATATTTTTCTTCATTAGGAATTTCAGCCCATACCATCATATCAATGACTTCTTGAAGTCAGGGCTTATCTTCATCGCTCAACATTGCAAGTAAATGCAAATGTGGAAGTCCTCTTTTTTGAAATTCAATCACACCTGCATAAGCTATAATATTTCCAAAAATTTTATTTTGAATTAAATCCTTCAAAATCTCTTTGACATCCAAATTAAATGTTTTAGCGACTAAATCAGGTCGAAACTCTATTTGACATCCATCAAGATTATCCTTAATTTCAGGACATTGAGGATTGCAAGTCATGGTTAGAAAAATGTCTGGTTTACCATACTTTCTTACCAAAGACATAGCATCTTGGTATCTTTCTTGCATGTTCCTTGGACTGCCCATAAATGAAGATGGTAATATTACAGGTACACCAACTGTAATTCCCTCATTTTGTGCTCGATTATCAAGGTGATCCATTAATCCTGAATAAAGTTCTGCTCTTAATTGAGGTTGA